CCACGTTAACTTTTTCTCGCCGACAAATACGTTTAAAACTAGTATCGCGTTAAATCAGGTAAAATAGAAGATTCCGCTTCCTTGACAACACAAATTTGTTTATACTTCCAAACAATTTATTCAATTTCATCAATTTTTTCATCAAAAAGATTCAAATTTATTTTTATAATATTTTTTATCAAAAGAATGAACTCCAAGAAATCATCAAAAAGTTCTCAATCGAATGCAGGAACATCGAAACCTTCACAAATACTACAAGGTGTAATCGGAAGCAAGGCAAACTCAAACTATAATCGAATGCAAATATGGAGACAACTAAATACGCCAGAATCTTCCTCTGATGCTCTCAAACCAAATATTTTCTCCTTACCCGAGAAACTTTTGAAACATTCAGCAAAATTGACACCTCACGAGAAGAAAAAGAAGAAAACAATTAAAAGTAGGTTGCTTTGNTTATAGTAAAACGATATTTTTCCGAATAATGTGTCAGTATATGATCCCAGAAGTGGAAATGATTTAACATACGGAATGTTATGATTTTTAAAATAACTTTGACGCCGCAGTATCCAAAATATAAACGTAACGAAAACAAAAATCAATACGAGACTTAAATTTGATACCAAATTTATTCCCAAAATATTTTCCATTTTTTATAACTTTGTCTGAACCTTTTGACGTTTGGAAATAAACTGAAACTTCACTCATTTGAAAACGAATATATATAACAAAACTCAAACGAACGCAAGTGAATGTGAGAGAATACAATTGATAACAATTTGTTTACGAAATTTGTAACCTTTCAGACAAAATGAAGATAAGACTTTCTTAAAGGCTCAATACTTTTTTAATACAATATAAATGAAAAGACTGTTTGTATCAGCAGTTATAATTGCTTCAATGTTCAATAATCACAATAAAGAATTTTTGTTGTTATACACAGAAAATTAGATAAAAGTACAAGAATTGACTGATTACATTTGCTGCACCTCAATGGTTTTTCATAAGCAACTAGAAATCTAATAAAACTGTTGAAATATTGTTCAATATTTAGATTTTTATTTATACGAGTCTGAATTTTATTTCTTTTCTTCTATCAATTTTTTTATTTTGAAAATGATTGTAAAATTATTAAAGGAGCTTTCAAAAAAAGCTTTTGAATCGTTCAAAACAAGCAACATTGTGTAACATGATACATCAGAAAACATCATGCAACATTGGTTTGCTTGTTTTCAAAAACATAAGAAAAACATTGTCTGCAATGAGGAATGAAAGAATTTTCTTTTAAAATTCCTATTCTTAATGCAACAAGTGAATAAATAAACAACAAATAGTAAATAGTTAAGCACACGACTTTGCAATTAAGTTAAGGAATTTCATACAATCAATATGCTTGTTCAATGTTATTTAAAGATATTAATAATTATCAAACAAGTTTTTTAAGTTTGACAAGCAAACTTTGAATGATGTTTCAAGATTAACCACGTTAACTTTTTCTTGCTGACAAATACGTTAAAAAACTGATCGCTTAAATCAGGTAAAATTGAATATTCTGCTTCCTTGACAACACAATTTGTTTATACTTCCAAACAACTTTTTCAATTTCCTCAATTTTTTCATCAAAACGAATCTGAAATATATTTTTATAATATTTTTTTTAAAAAAATGAACTCAAAGAAATCCGTAAAAAGTTCCCAATCAAATGCAGGAACATCGAAACCATCACAAGTACTACAAGGTGTAATCGGAAGCAAGGCAAACTCAAACTATAATCGAATGAAAATATGGAGACAACTCAATACGCCAGAATCTTCCTCTGATGTTCACAAACCAAATATTTTCTCCTTACCCGAGAAACTTTTGAAACATTCAGCAAAATTGACACCTCACGAGAAGAAAAAGAAGAAAACAATTAAAAGTAGGTTGCTTTGAAAGTAGAAATAAAATATTTAAATTTACTCAATTTTCAGAAGTCAAATCTTACACTGTTGTTCGGAAAGAACGAGAAGAATTTCGTAGAAAGCTTGTGAAATTGATAATAAGTTCGGAAGAAGAAATCGCACGTGACGATGGAACTTTTCCTGATGCTCAAGAAAAGGAAGTTATGCGATATTATTACTACATAAAGCACGGAATTGACACGGTTCATGTATCGCCCATTGACAAACGTGTATTGAATCGAGTTTTAAAGTTGATTCCTAAAAATCTTACAAAGTACACTGGTTTGTTGGAAACGATAACTGCTGAGATGAAAGAAGATTACATCACGGCTGTAAAGAAAGCTGTCATTGATTTCGTTCTTGGCGATGCTCTCACGAAAAATATCAACAAACAAGAAAGATCTCAATACCTTCAAGAACTTAAAGAGATTTCAATGAAATGGCGGCATCGTTTCGAAGAAAATCGATTGAAAATCAAACGAACTCTCTTTGCAATTAATCCATGTTTATCACAAATTCTTGAGATCTGGTACACGTCGTTCAAAGATATGAGTTATGTTGACATGAAGAAAATAATTGAAAAAGGTCAAGCTTATGATCTTGCTGAATTTACGACGACGATCATGAAACAGATTGAAGATGCAAAGGTCAAGTTACAAGAGAAATGGTTTGGGGCAATTCAAAATATCATCAGTCGAATGTCGAAGAAGAAACTCGTACCAGAACCGTCAAAACCGAGACTTCTAAAACGATTCTACAATTCTGTCGCTGCTTTAATGACTCAGCAGTTGCAAGAAATGTGCATAAGAAGCTTAACATCTTACACGTTTTATATTTGCGATGTTGGGCAATCAAATCAAGGCTTTCGGTTAACAATTCTTTTGGAAGACGAAGACACGCTGTCATTCTCACCACATTTCACAAAGTTTCGTTATGAACTTATACGAATGATTGACGTGATTGTGAAAGCAGGAACTTCATTTCCAAGAATTGAATCGAAAATATTTATGGATGCAACGAATAACGAAGAATTTCTTAAACCAGCAATTCCATTGGATATGATTGAAAGTTCTCGATTGAAAATTCACGAGATGCTTCAAGAACAACGAATTGGACCTGAATTAAGAATGCAAGATTTCGATGACTTTATGGATTTGATGAATGGTAAAAATATCGAAGAAATTGAAGACTTTATCAAAAACAATCCAAAGTTTGAAGACTATTGTGAACTTATTGAACATTATAAAAGAGTCGAGCATAACATTTCGCGGAAAGTTAATGGCGTTGTGACAATGGGTTTGTATGAATTTCATCGAGAAGGCTTAATCGATACATTGGAGAGTCTTGCAAGACTCATGCAAAAAGAATTAATTGCAAGAGTCACGTCAGATCAACAGAGTGCAATGTCAAATCTTACATTACAATACGAAGACATTTCTGCAAAACTTCTTTCAACACCAAAAGATACAAAAAATTTAATGGAAATGAAAGATTACGCTTCGAAAACTGAAGACGAAACAATTCCTGAAATGGAAGATCAACTGCGATTGGTGAGAAACTTTTTTAAATAATTTTTATAGAATAATTTTGAAACTTTCTTCTGTTTAGAATCTTCAACAACTTTTATATTTGACCGACTACACGATCTTAACACCACTTGAAATAAAGCTCAACACGAACACATTTCTATGGTACTTGAAGATGCCGTCAGTGTTTGATGATCACAAGAAGATCATAGCTGAGAAAGTCATAGAATATCAAGAACTGTTGAAGAAACGAATTGAATATTTCAAGAAAGATTTGGAACTTTATTGGGAACAAGTTCAAGAATATTACAAATGGGGCGATATAAAGAAACTGTCAAAGTATAAGAAGAAATCAACAGTTTTGGATAAAAAGTAAGATGAAAAGATGGAATTGAAAATCTTAAATTAGAATTTAATTTTTCTCTTCAGATTGATGCAAGCAATGCAAAAGATTGACGACATAAATGAAGAAGAGACAGCTTATGGTTGGGACGAGTCACAATATCCATTAAGAAAGCAATGCGCAGATAAATTGTTGCCTTATAAGAAGCTTTTCGATGCTGGTCAAGAGTTTATGGACAAACATGACTTATGGATGCATACACAAGTTGGAACGTACGAACCTGAATCAATTGAAGACACGATTGGAAATTTATACCGTGCTGTTGCAAATTTAGAGAAAAAGTTTTCCGATTCAATCAGCACTCAAAGACTTGCGACTGGAATTAAAAATTCAATTGATGAATTCAAAGTTCATCTTCCTTTAATTAATACATTAGGAAATCCAGGAATGAAAGATCGTCATTGGGAACAAGTTTCAGAAATAATCGGATTCCCAATTAAGAAGTCACCAGACATGACGTTGGAGAAAGTCATTGATTATGGTCTTGCTGAGTATGTCAGTAAATTTGAATCAATTTCTGAAAGTGCAACAAAGGAAAATAATCTCGAGAAAGGAATGTCAAAGATGATCAGTGAATGGGGAGATATAAAGTTCCTGGTGAATCCTTATCGTGATACTGGCACGTTCATCTTAGCAACTGTTGATGACATTCAAGTGTTACTCGACGATCACATCATTAAAACGCAAACAATGAAAGGTTCACCGTACATCAAACCTTTCGAAAAGGAAATCGTTGCGTGGGAGAAGAAATTGATGTTGCTACAAGACATCCTCGATGATTGGCTTAAAGTTCAAGCTACTTGGATGTACCTGGAACCAATTTTCGGCAGTCCCGACATTCAATCACAAATGCCAGAAGAAGGAAGACGATTCAGTGCTGTTGATAAGATTTGGAAAGATTTAATGCGTGCTGTTTATTCTGACACTCAAGTTCTTTCAGTTCTCGAGATTGATAAAATGTCTGACAAGCTCAAGAAATGTTACGGACTTTTGGAACAAATCCAAAAAGGTCTCAATGAATATTTGGAGAAGAAGCGACTTTACTTCCCTCGATTCTTCTTTTTGTCAAACGATGAACTTCTTGAAATCTTATCAGAAACAAAAGATCCAACACGTGTTCAACCACATTTGAAGAAATGTTTCGAAGGAATTTCAACACTCAACTTCACAGAATCTTTAGATGTGACACTGATGAGATCAAGTGAAGGTGAAGAAGTGATTCTTGATGATGTCATATCAACATCGAAAGCTCGTGGTCAAGTTGAGAAATGGTTACTTGAACTTGAGAAAGCTATGAAGAAATCAATTCGTAATCAAATTATGATGTCATTGAATGCTTATTTGAAATCAATTCGACATGAGTGGGTGTTGCAATGGCCTGGACAATGCATACAATCAATATCAGTGACATATTGGACGATTGAAGTGACTGAATGTTTCACAAAAGATAATCCAATTCATGAGTTGACAAAATACTTGGACAAGTGCAATGATCAGATCAGTCACATTGTAAGTCTGGTTCGTGGTAAATTATTACTTCAGAATCGCATAACACTCGGTGCACTTGTCGTGCTTGACGTTCATAGTCGTGACGTTCTAATCGATTTAATAAATCAGAAAACAACCAAAGATGACGACTTTAATTGGTTGTGTCAGCTTCGATATTATATTGAAAATGATGATCTTGTTACACGAATGATCAACTCGTCACTTGATTATGGTTATGAATATTTGGGCAACACAACAAGACTCGTCATCACGCCTTTAACTGATCGCTGTTATCGAACACTTTTTGGTGCTTTACATTTGCATCTTGGTGGTGCACCAGAAGGTCCAGCCGGCACTGGTAAGACTGAAACTACAAAAGATCTCGCTAAAGCTGTTGCAAAGCAATGTGTCGTCTTTAATTGTTCCGATGGTCTTGATTACATTGCACTTGGAAAGTTCTTTAAAGGACTTGCATCATGTGGTGCTTGGTCATGCTTCGATGAATTTAATCGAATTGATCTGGAAGTTCTCTCAGTTGTTGCACAACAAATTTTGACAATTCAACGCGGAATTAATTCAGGTTCGAAGAGTTTAATGTTTGAAGGGACGATGCTTCAATTAGATCCATCATGTGCTGTTTTCATCACAATGAATCCTGGATATGCTGGCAGAAGTGAACTTCCAGACAATTTAAAATCTTTATTCCGTTCTGTAGCTATGATGGTTCCCGATTATGCTTTAATTTCTGAAATTGAACTTTATTCTTATGGATTTCTGAATGCACGACCAATGGCTGTTAAGATTGTTGCAACTTATCGTCTTTGTTCGGAACAACTTTCATCACAACCTCACTATGATTATGGCATGAGAGCTGTCAAATCAGTTTTGAAAGCTGCTGGTGCACTTAAATTAAAATATCCAAACGAATCTGAAGATGTTTTAATCTTACGATCAATTAAAGACGTGAACCTTGCAAAGTTCTTAAACCATGACGTTCCATTGTTTCAAGGCATCGCATCTGATTTGTTTCCTGGTGTCGTTCTTCCTAAATCTGATTATGAAGTCTTTAACAAAGCTGTTGAAGATGTTTGTGTTGAGAATAATATTCAATGCACGGAAGTATTCTTAGAAAAGGTTCAGCAACTCTACGAGATGATTCTGGTTCGTCATGGTTTGATGATTGTTGGAATGCCATTCGGTGGGAAGACGACAGCTTATCGGATGCTTGCACTTGCCCTTGGTGTTATTGAAGAACGCGGTGGAATGGATGAACACAAAGCAATCTTCACAGTTATAAATCCAAAATCAATAACGATGGGACAACTTTACGGTCAATTTGATTTGATATCTCACGAGTGGAGTGATGGAATTTTAGCTGTCAGTTATCGACAGTTTGCTGTAAGTTCAACGCTTGATCGTAAATGGTTGATTTTTGATGGTCCCGTTGATGCGATTTGGATTGAAAACATGAACACAGTTCTTGACGATAACAAGAAGCTTTGCTTGATGTCTGGTGAGATTATTCAACTGGCACCGACAACAAATTTGGTTTTCGAGCCAATGGACTTAGAAGCAGCATCACCAGCGACGGTTTCCAGATGTGGAATGATTTATATGGAACCTTCAGCTTTAGGATGGAAGCCACTGCTTGACTCGTGGATGAATGAACTTCCAAAGAGTTTTCATACAGTCAATCGTCAAGTCATTCTTCAATTATTTAATCGATTTTGTCCGATTCTTCTTTGGTTCATTCGAAAAGGTGGACTTAAAGAGATGACACCAACAAATGATTCAAATCTTGTCCGATCAGTGATGAATCTTTTTGATTGCTTCACTGACGACTTTCGTGTTGATCCTTCACTTACAACTGATAAAGATAAAGACGCTTCAGTGAAGGAAGTTGAGATTCGTGCACAAATTGAAGGAATTTTCTTCTTCTCTTGCATTTGGGCTTTGGGTGGTTCATTGTTTCAGGAAAGTCGCGAGAAATTCTCGGAAGTTTTTCGAGCTTTATTTGAGAAAAACTTTCCTGAAGAGTTGATTGAAAAGTTTAAAATTCCAGAACATGTTCAGGTGTCGCCACTTCAGAAGCCTTTCATCTTTCCAATTCCGAAGGCAGGTTCAGTCTTTGACTATCGATACATAAAAGAAGGAAAAGGAAAATGGCGACTTTGGTCTGATGACATGCAACAAGCTGACGCAATTCCACGTGACAAACCAGTGAACCAAATCATCGTGCCAACAGTGGAAACAGTGAGAACGTCAGCACTTTTAGATCTGCTTGTAAAGCATTCGAAACATTTATTGATTGTCGGTCCAACGGGCACAGGGAAGTCGGTTTACGTCAATGACTTTCTATTGAAAAAGAACGACACTTCTGTATTCAAACCTCTTCTCATCAGCTTCTCAGCACAAACAACAGCAAACCAAACGCAAGACATCATCATGTCAAAGCTTGATAAACGTCGGAAAGGAATTTTCGGTCCACCGCAAGGTCAAAAGTGTGTCATATTCGTCGACGATGTTTCAATGCCAATGAAAGAAACTTATGGAGCGCAACCACCAATTGAGTTACTTCGAATGTGGTTTGATCATAACATTTGGTATGATAGGAAAGAAAACGTTGCAATGCGTTTGATTGACATTCAATTGGTTTGTGCCATGGGACCGCCGAGCACTGGCAACACAGTGACACCAAGATTCGCAAGACATTTCAACACTCTCGTCATTAATGAATTTGATGAACAAACGTTGACAACAATCTTCAGTAAAATTGTTTTATGGCATTTGGATACTCGTGGATTTTCAAAAGAATTCGATCCGTGCATTGATGAAATTGTCAGCTCGACTTTAACGATTTATCAAGAAGCGAGAAAATTTCTTTTGCCAACACCAACGAAGTGTCATTATTTGTTTAATCTTCGTGACTTTTCTCGTGTTATTCAAGGCGTTCTACTGTCAGTTCCTGAAGGAACAGAAACAATCGACACAATGCGAAGACTTTGGGCGCATGAAATTTTACGTGTTTATGGTGATCGATTAGTTGATGACAATGATCGTGATTGGCTTTTTAAAATGATTTACAATGTCATGAAGGAAACAATGAATGTCGATCCAGAAGAATTATTTGCAAGATTAAAAGAACCGAAACAAGATTTGAGTGAAAGCGACTTACGTAAACTTCTTTTCTGTGACTTTACAAATCCAAAAGCTGATAACAAACTTTACTTGGAAGTTGAAGAACTTGAACAACTTCGTTACACTGTTGAAGCTTATCTTGTTGAGTTTAACAACATGAGTAAGAAGCCAATGAATCTCGTGCTGTTCCGCTTCGCAATTGAACATTTATCGAGAATTTGTCGCATTTTAAAGCCACCACGTAGTCATGCATTGTTGATAGGTGTCGGTGGATCAGGGAAGCAATCTTTGACACGTCTCGCCGCTCATATTAATGACTATGAAACTTTTCAAGTTGAAATTTCCCGACAATATGGAATGATGGAATGGCATGAAGACATCAAAGCAATTGCTAGGAAAGTCAGCACTTCAGAGAATCAAGGAGCGTTTCTATTCACCGACATTCAAATTAAGGAAGAAGCTTTTCTTGAAGACGTCAGTTACCTTCTCAACACTGGCGAAGTTCCAAATCTCTTCAATCTTGAAGAGAAAAATGAAATTCTTGAAAAAATGAGACAAATTGATCGTGCTAAAGATAAAAGCATTCAAACTGATGGAAGCCCAGTTGCTTTATTCAATATGTTTGTTCAACTTGTCCGTGAACAACTTCATGTCGTTCTTTCAATGTCACCAATTGGAAATGCATTAAGAAATCGAATTCGAAAGTTTCCAGCGATTGTCAATTGTTGTACGATTGATTTGTTTCAAGCATGGCCTGAAGATGCTTTATTAGCAGTGGCTTCAAGATTTCTTAGCACTGTTGAACTTACAGACTTGGAACGACCAGTTTGTATTGACATGTGCATGGAGTTCCACACATCAACGAGAATTTTATCAGAACAATTCTACCTTCGTCTTAATCGTCATAATTACGTCACTCCAACTTCTTATCTCGAACTTATTCACACTTTCAAGACATTACTCGAGAATAAACGAAACGAAACGAAGACAGCAAGAACACGTTACATCACTGGAATTGATCAACTTGAAATTGCATCACGACAAATTGATATTTTGAAAGCAAATTTAGAAGAACTTCAACCATCATTGAAACTCGCTGCTGAAACTGTTGCCAAGCAATTAGTGCAAGTTCAAAAGGATCAAGACGCTGCTAATGCTAAACGTGAACAAGTGATGATTGATGAAGCAGCAGCACTTGAACAAGCAACTGTCGCTAATGCAATTAAGGAAGAATGTGACGAAAAGTTAGCAGAAGCCATTCCAAAGCTCGAGGAAGCAAATGCAGCGTTGCAAACTTTAACATCGCAAGACATTTCACTCGTCAAAACAATGAAATCGCCGCCAGTTGTTGTGAAAATTGTTATGGAAGGAATTTGCATCATGAAAGATGTGAAACCAGAAAGAATTCCTAATCCAAGTGGTGTCGGTGTGATTGAAGATTATTGGGCTGCGTCGAAGAAAGTTTTAACTGACATCAAATTCCTTGACAGTCTTCTCAACTTTGACAAAGACAACATCCCACCAAGAGTCATAACAAAAGTACAAGAACGTGTCTTAAGTAATGAAAATTTCGATCCTGATAAAGTGAAAGCAGCTTCAGCAGCATGTGAGGGAATGTGTCGATGGATCAGCGCAATTGTTGAGTACGACAAAGTTATAAGAGTCGTTGCACCTAAACGAGCGGCTTTGGAAGAAGCTCAAGCGAATTATAACGTAAGATAAATTAAATTTAAAGTTGTCGATTGTTAATTGTCATTTTTAATTCATACACAGAGTGCAATGTCATTATTGACAGCAAAGAAACAACAACTTGCTGGTTTGGAGGCAAATCTTGCTGAGTTGAAACGACAACTTGATGCACAAATTGCAATACAAAAGTAAGTAACAAAAGTTTAATTAAAAAACTTTAAATGAATTTCCTGATTTTATTTAATTACAGTGAAAAGCAAGCAAGTGTTGAAATGTGCACGAAGCAATTGGAACGTGCAACGGAATTGATTGGTGGATTGGGCGGTGAAGGGACGCGATGGTCAGTTGCAGCTGACAAATTAGGAGAAATTTACGAGACATTGACTGGCGATGTTCTCATAGCTTCTGGCGTTGTTTCGTATCTGGGACCATTTACAAGCGACTTCAGGGCACAACAAATCAAAGAATGGCGGGATAAATGTGTGGAAATGGGAATTCCATGCGCAACAAACTTCCCACTTCAAAATGTTCTTGGCGATCCTGTTTTGATAAGATCGTGGAACATTTTCGGTCTTCCCAGTGACTCATTTTCAATTGAAAGTGCGATCATTCTCAACAATGCACGTCGTTGGCCTTTGATGATTGATCCACAAGGACAAGCAAATAAATGGATTAAAAATATGGAGAAGGGAAATCGATTGGGAATTATTAGACTTTCGCAACCAGACTACACTCGAGTGTTGGAGAATTCAATTTTGTTTGGACTTCCAGTGTTGCTTGAGAATATTGGCGAAGATATTGATCCGATTTTAGAGCCAGTGCTTTTGAAGCAAACATTTAAACAAGGTGGAGCTTTGGTCATTAAACTTGGTGATTCCATAATCGAATACAATGACAGCTTTCGCTTATACATCACAACAAAACTTCGAAATCCACATTACATGCCAGAAGTTGCTGTGAAAGTTACAATGTTGAACTTTATGATCACACCTGATGGATTGCAAGATCAACTTTTAGCGATAACTGTCGCACGTGAACGTCCCGATCTCGAAGCAGAGAAGAATCAATTGATTGTTCAAGGTGCTGAAAATAAAAAGCAATTGAAAGAAATTGAAGACAAGATTCTCGAAGTTTTATCATCAGAGGGAAATATTCTTGAAGATGAAACTGCAGTTCAAATTCTAAGCTCATCAAAAGTTCTTTCAAATGAGATAAACGAGAAGCAATCAACTGCTGAAGTGACTGAGAAGCAAATTGATAATGCCCGTCTTGGTTACACTCCAATTGCAAAGCATTCAACGATTCTTTTCTTCACAATTGTTGAGTTGGCAAACATTGATCCAATGTATCAATATAGTCTTGCTTGGTTCGTTAATCTCTTCACAAATGCTATTGATAACACAGAGAAGGTTGATGATCTTGATCAGAGATTATCGGAGTTGACCAGCTACTTCACTTACAGTTTATACGTAAACATTTGTCGAAGTTTATTCGAGAGAGACAAATTGTTGTTCTCACTTTTATTGACGATAAATTTGATAAGAAATGAAGGGAAAATTGATCAAGATGAGTGGATGTTTCTGTTGACAGGTGGTGTAGGTTTACAAAATTTAATAGCAAAACCAGCTGATTGGATTCCAACAAAAGCTTGGGATGAAATTTGTCGGTTATCGAAGTTTCAATCTTTTATTGGGTTGGATGAAAGTGTCGCTAAAGATAACAAAGCGTGGGAAGAATTCTTTAATTCTGATGCACCACAAGCAATGCCACTGCCAAACAAATGGAATGAACTTGGAGAATTTCATAAAATTCTGATTCTGAGAAGCTTTCGACCTGATAAACTCGTTCCAGCTATTCGAGATTATGTCACTTTAGTTATGGGAAATAAATTTACTGAACCACCATCATTTGATCTTCCAGCATCTTATGATGATTCCCAGTGTTGTATTCCACTTATTTTCATTCTCACACCTGGTGCTGATCCCATCGCAACATTGCTAAAGTTTGCTGATGATCAAGGCTATGGCGCTAATCGACTTTTCTCGCTTTCACTTGGTCAAGGTCAAGGACCGATTGCCACGAAAATGATTGACGAAGGAACGAAGTATGGTAATTGGGTGATTTTACAGAATTGTCATTTAGCAAAAAGTTGGATGCCAACATTGGAGAAAATCTGTGAGGGTTTCTTACCTGATACGACGCACATTGACTTCCGTTTGTGGTTGACGTCATATCCATCAGAAGATTTCCCTGTTGTCGTTCTTCAAAATGGAGTGAAGATGACAAATGAACCTCCGAAAGGTCTTAAAAATAATATTTTACGTTCATTTCAAAGTGATCCAATTAATGATCCGGAATGGTATGAATCAAACAAACAATCAAAAGATTTTAAACGTCTTTTGTTTTCATTGTGCTTTTTCCATGGTGTCGTGCAAGAGCGTCGAGCTTTTGGTCCAATTGGATGGAATATCGGATATGAGTTTAATGAAACTGATTTGAGAATTAGTGTTAGACAATTGATGATGTTCTTGAATCAGTATGACGAGATTCAATACATTGCACTGCGATATTTGACAGGCGAATGTAATTATGGGGGTCGTGTGACTGATGATTGGGATCGAAGATGTCTGAACACAATTTTATCGTATTACTACGCGAGGGATGTCTTGGAAGACGATGGTTACAAATTTGATGAAACTGGCAATTATTATGCTCCGAAAGTTACTGAATATGACGAATTTGTTGGCTTCATTAAGAAACTTCCAATGATTTCACGTCCAGGAATTTTTGGCTTACATGAGAATGCTGATATCATCAAAGATCAACAAGAAACGGCATCATTGTTGACGAATATTTTAAAGACACAGGTGAGAAAGATTTTTGAATAAATGAATAAATTTAAACCAGATTAATTTTAATCGAGATTATTCCGGATAGAAATTAATCGAGGTTAGATTTAATCAAGATTAGCGTTAATTCAGGTTAGATTTGTGTAAGATTAACTTTAATCGCGATTAAAAAGTTTCTATTTTGAGTGATTGACATTGAAATTTATTTTTTTTTGCTTCATGCTGCTTTATATTATAGGATCGTATGGTAAATTTTAAAGTTAGATAAGTTTGATAGATCGTTATTAATAAATCATAATCTTTTCTTTAAATTTACATCAGGATATTTATAAATTAAAGGTAAAATAATTAAAGTTCCTTAGGAGACAATTAGAATGATTAATAACTTTTAATTCATTTTTTAAAAGCTTCTCGAGAAACAGGAAGAGGTTTTATTCATAATTGAATCATAAAATATTATTTAATTGTCTTTTGTACATTAACAGGTAACATCTGACGGCGCTGGTGCAAGTAAATCAGAGAAACTTGTGATTGAAGTGTCAATGGACATTCTTTCGAAACTACCAAAAGAGTTTGACATTGACAAAGCAAATGAGAAATATCCGACAAGTTATCATCAAAGCATGAACACTGTGTTGGTTCAAGAAATGGGACGATTCAATGATTTGTTGAAACGAATTCGAATAAGTTTAATTACAGTGACACAAGCAGTCAAAGGTTTAATTTCCATCACTCCGGATGTTGAGAAAGTTGTCAGCTCGATTGTCACTACTAAAATTCCCGAATTTTGGGCAAAGAAATCTTATCCAAGCTTAAAACCTTTGGGAAGTTACATAACAGATTTTCTAGCTCGACTCGAGTTTCTACAAAAGTGGATGGACAATGGACCATCTGACACTTTCTGGTTATCGGGATTCTTCTTTACTCAAGCATTTCTTACTGGTGCTCAACAAAACTTTGCTAGAAAATATTCAATTCCAATTGATTTATTGGTGTTCGACTACAACATTCTCTCTTCTGATGACGTAAATTCAGCACCCGATGACGGCGTTTATGTTTATGGATTGTTTCTTGAAGGTGCAAGATGGAATCGAGAGAAACATTGTCTCTCTGAATCTCTAACAAGAATACTTCACGATAAAATGCCAATGATTTGGTTGAAACCTATAAAAAAAGATGACGTGAAGTCGAAACATTCTTACATCTGTCCAGTTTATAAAACAGCAGAACGACGTGGAATTTTATCAACCACTGGCCACTCAACAAATTTCGTCATTGCAATGGACTTGCCTTGTGCACCTGAAACGAAACCAGAACATTGGACAATGCGTGGTTGTGCATTGCTCTGTCAATTAAGTGAATAAAATTTATTTTTTACAATTTTTTGTTATTTTGAGAAATTCATAAATAAAAATTTTTTGTGCTTGTGTGAAAGTTTGAACTTTATCGTCTTTATTGTGTATAAGAAAGAAGAGAAAAACAAGATTTGCTTAACCAATTGCAAACATCATAGTGATGCCAGTGTAAGATCGAACACCTGTAACGGGACCGCGAGAAGCGCCTTCATGTCTGATCCGATATTGGCCATTGGCGACGTTATTGGGAATGTCCCAGAAGAAATCAATTTCACTTGTTCCTCGAATTGTACTTGTACGTCTCCAAATGAATCTTGTTTCCCAGTTGGCATCTGATGCGATAGGCAACCAACTTCCATTAAGTTCCAACCGTTCAACAAAGAAGTAACTGCTTTCCGTCATCAAAGCATTTCTTGGATTTCCTGATACAAATCTCGCGAATACTTCTTGACCTCTCGTGTAACTAGCGCGTGGTTGAACAACAACAGCACCGAAATTAGCACTACCGGAATCATCATTTATAACTGGCAACAAGAACGTTAATTGATCAGCTGTTTGATCGAGTGGTAGTGGCCCAGGTGTCAATACTTGGTTATTTAAAATTGCTTGATAAAGTCTCGAGTATTGTTGAATGTAAATAGTTAATGTGTGAGGTCCGAAAGCTGTTGAAGCTGCTTCATATCGTTGCATTTGATATTCCTCAAAAGTCACAATATAACTCGAGTACATGTTCACCATTCCCGTCACAATGACATGTGGATTACGTCCAACAGCTTGTCCAACAGCTTGAAGTTGTGTTCGTAAACGACGTCCACCCATTGTTGTGATTTCACCAGGAAGACCAGCAATCACTGCATCACCAATAGTGATGATTTGTGTTGGAACAATTGGTGGAATCCATAAGAATGGTCGCGATGTTCGTCCAGTGTTCAAAAGAATTGGTTTTGGTGCATGACAAGCAATGTCATCGGGAGTTGGTTCAGCAACGAAATCACGGACAGCATCCCAGAATGGATTGCCAGAAGTACTTCCTTGAGTAAAATCAAATCCACCAGGGCCGTCAGTTGTGCCAGCAGCAAATGACATTCCAAACGCTGATAAGCACCCTCTGAAGCTTTCAACACGACCCGTAGCTTCATTCAACCATTGACCTGTCTGTGTTGACATTTCAACGAACTGATTTTGGAATCCAACAGTGCCAGTAAGTTCACGTCCACCGCCATTTCTAACAAGAAGTGATGCTGCATTGTAAATTCGAGTTCCAATGATTCTCGTGCTGTCAATATGTGTCGTTCCCGGTCCAAAAGCAATGCAAACATCACCTTGGTTAGGACATGATGACTCAATTGGATCGCAATACAATCCAGTGCCCTTTGAAAGATTTAAATTAATAAATTATTTTAAGAAGGAATGAAAAACTTACAATACATCTTGGACCATTAATATTCGGACTAATATCACCTGAGTTAGCTGTACTGAAAGCACCAATAAAACTTCCTCTTCCAATCAACTGATTAGCATTTCTTTCTTGTTCCAAAAGAATTGAAGCCAATCCAAGATTATCAGACGATACAAACAAGTTTGTGTTGTTCATCGAAACAGGGTGAACTGAGAAGTTGTAAAGTTTAATTAATCATCACAATGCATGTTGATGTAAATTTAAAAATATTCCAATCAATCATTCATTCATTAATTTGTGTTTATTACCTGCCAGCCAACTGAAAGCTCCTCTCACTTGCCCTTGATTATCAACGAATCTCAATTGTGTCATTGTTCTATCAATATCACCAGAGAATCGATTTCGTTCAACTTGTGGATTCAATAAATAAGCTTTTGGTGAACGATTGACTCCGAAATCATTAACTGTGGTCTCAGTTAAGAAGACTCGTCCCGAGAACATTGAATTATGAGCGATGGTAATTGATTGAACAATTCCATTGACAATTGGATTGTAAGTCTCGCGAATGAAGCCAAGACATGTAACATCGTACATGATGTATTGATGATAGCCACCGGGACCACCGTGTGTATCTAAAACAAAAGTTTGCGAATCTTCTTATCAAAATATAATCAATCAAAGTTACTTACGTTGAGCTGATAACATCACATTATCATATCGGTACATGTTTCCGAATCTCGCTTGAAGTTGTGCGAGTACCTTTGTGAAAGTTTTTCCATTTTTTTATAAATTGAAAAAATTAAAATTTTAATTAATATTTTCTCACATCTCTTCTCATTGCATGAGAAATCATTGCAAGATCAGTAGCGACATAAACGACTCGTCTTCCTGCTGCGTCTTGAACGATGAACGTACGAGCAAATTGACGTGTATGAATACCGTGGCCTCTTTGATCCATCGATGCATATCCCATCTAATAAACCACAAAATTTCCTTCATTAAACTTTTCTTCATTTTCACTTTGAATAAAAGTTTTCATACAAATGGAACTTCAACACTTGGTCCGGTGATATCAAAACGACCCAAACCAATTGTGAATTGACCTTGGATCGTCATAACGACAGCAGCCAAAACACCAAAGAACAACTTTAAATTTCCCATTGTTTAATTTCACTTCGTAAAACAAACTGAAGAAGCTTAAACAAAATTTTCATCTTTTATAATTGAGTCTTATCAAATTTGCGGGGGTGTAAATTTTGATTTGATTATGATTGAGTGGCATTTTTTTGATATTCAATTATAATCAATAATAATGATAATGAAATCTATAATTAAACATTATTAATTAGATTTTTAATACATTGTCGAGTGTGTCGAACAAAACACAAAAAATGTATGATAACGATGGAGAATATTTCATGTTGTTGTTTTATATCAAACGTGCTAACATATTTTTTTTATGAGTTCATCAGATGGAATTCATTTTATAATGTAAAAATTAAGTTCAATTTATTAATGCTTTAAGCATCATTTCTTTCATATTATCATAAGTTTATGAAACATTAAAAACTTCCAACGAAACAACGAAGCTTTCATCTGATTGGCTACATTGTACGATCAAGTTTGTTTTTATATCGCATTGGAAATTTAAAACTTATTTGGAGCTCAATTAAAGTCAATTAAAGTCTTTAAAGACTGCCTAACGATTCAAAAAGATTCTCCCACACTTTAAAACAATGTCAACAAAAATTATTCGCTTCAAAGTTTTTTCCGTATTATCTAAATGTTGTGCGCAATTATTAAATCACATTCGTATTGTCATCAACAATTTAATTTTTACTCAAAGTCATGCATGCGGTAGACAAATGAATGAAAGCAGAACGGAATCAAAAGCGTCTGTTTAATTATTGACAAACTCAGTTTGATACAAGAAAATTCAAATTGAGATGTTAATTGCGTTAGCAGTTTCTCCTCCTTTTTCCTTGAACATGAAGTTCTCTTGTTAAAATTCATATTAATTTTATCAAAACTAATTATAGTTGACTGTACATGAAACGTTGCGAATTTCAAGACAAATGAGAGGCACAAAAATTTCCCCCGTTATGTAATATCGACGCAAAAGTCATTAAAAAGAAGTAAAATTAAGAGATGGTGATCTGTACTCAAGGTAAAGGCGATCGTGATTGCTTCTTTAAAGCCAGGTCATTACAAATTTGCCTTGAAGTTTTTCGGCTTTCATGACAATGTTCTTTTAAAGATATAAATGAGCAAAGGAGAAAATAGAAAAATAATTTGTAGCTTCAAGCAAAAAAAGGGAAAGAAAGAAAAATGTAAAGAACTTGTTTTCAATGAAATACTCTTAAATATCCATCATTCTAAACATCGCAATTGATCAACACTTTGACATTCAATGAATGTTTTTCCGCTAATTTCTTCAATGTTTTTGAATGTTTCACCATTCCAGTAAAACATTGACTGAAAACATTGACAAACATTTTCGCCGATTCATAAAATTATTTCAATTCATTTGGAAACGAACACTTGATGTGAATTGAAGTCTTTTATTTTTATTATTGTGAGAAATTGATGAGAAGTGAAAAAAAGAATTAAAGAAGAAAATGTTGACAACTTTAAAGTGGAATCATTGGATCGATTAATTACTTGTGACTATTGTTACTTGTTAAGTTTGAAAAAAAAAACTTTTTTCCGTGGATTAAAAAAAAGAATAAAAAATAAAAGAAAAAGTGCCATTCAAGAAGATTAAATTTGTTTGGTTTCTAACACCGAGGTGAGTAACTCTTTAAAACTAGATAGTTTCAAAGTTATGGCTGGAAGTCGCGATAAATCGTGAGAACAAAGCAAGAACAATTCTTCTTCATTCACATAAAGAATTCCATACAGAAAAGATATGAGTTATGCATTCACTCAGCGACATGAAACCGGTTTTAAGAAACGAAAATTTCATTATCATGAAGACAACGCACAAAAGAGAAGCGAAATAAAAATTTCCTGAAAATTGCACTCTTCATGTTGACTTTTGGCTTCTTCTCTGAAAGAAAATTAATTTTGAGCTTGAGCAAAAGCGCGATCTTATGCATACCAAATCATTCAACTTTACGAAACTAATTTTACTTTCCTTTGATCACCATCATACTTCATATAAAACACGACTTGAAACTACCTTCTCGACATCTTCTTCTTCATTCTCTTCACAACATAAAGATTGTTGAACTCGCTTCGCAGTTTGTGGCTTTTTAAAGTCTTTTTTTTTTCCTTCTTATTGAAGTCCGACATTTATCGTCAGTAAAATGCACTTGAGAAAGAAAGAAAAAGATTAAAGATGAAAGTTTCCTCTCGTTATTTATTTTTTGATTAAAGAAGCTTCAACATTATTAGCATAATTCACATAAATAAGTGAAAAGCGCAAAGTATCAACATAAAAATAAATAAAAACGAAAATCGATTTGATGATTCATCATTATCTTACCTATATTTATCTTTTTTGCGACATCGCCAAGTGGAATGGAAATTTCCGAGACGGCATGTCTCAAAAGGCATTAAAAACAAGCCTTGTCGTTACTTATTGTACACATTCGTTCTCATGATAAATAAAGCAAAAATTTATTCGTGTTGCGGATCACTTGTTCATCAACCGGATATAGGGGCGAAGTTTTTGAGTGAAGGAATGTCGAAATATTAAGAAGAAAAAACATTTTAAGGATCATAAAAGAAATTTTGTTCAAAACATTTGTTGGGTGTTTGTGCAACAAGCGACAGCTGACAACAGATGTTGCCGGAAAATCAAATCATGAGAACTGTTTATTCAGGAAGTGTACCCTTGAAAACAGTAAACTGCACTCTAGACTCTCACATTCACATGCAAATTGCACATGAAGCGAAACGAAAGTGTTAATTAGTTGAGAATATTTTTTATTGCTTTCTTTCCCACAAGTTCACATGTGTCAGGTTTTCAACTTTAAAAAGTTTTTGTGAAATTTTGTCCTTCGCAATGTTTCGTTTTTATATGGCAATGAAGTTTTTTATGTATGACGGCCTAATTTATGACGAGAAATTCTAAGAAAATAAATTTTTGTAAAGTAATTCGCAATGAAAATGAAAGGTCGGTGAGATAAGTGAAGAAATGAAGTAAAAACCGAAAGTACAATTTCAAGTGTAATATTTGCTTTCAGCTCAATCAAGAGTTATAAAAGGAAGCAAACGCGTGTATGTAAACAGTAAAAATCGTTGACCTCATATCGAATCTGGTTTAAGCGAATAAAAACACACACAATTTATATTGCAAAATATAAAACGCGTTAGTTGGCATCATTAATCACTTTCAATGATGTTAAGTCGATAAGTTTAAAATTTTCGAGGGTCGGCAAAAGTTTCAAAAGCACATTCAAGTAGCCTAAGACGATTAAAAATTAATTTTCGTCAAAAACAAAATGTTGAAAGTGTCAAAACTTGACCCTTTTCTTGTTGTCAATTCGAAACCAATGACTGCCACCAAAAATGCAAAAATATTATTGATTCGCTCGATTGATTTCGATTATTTGATTGAAATGACAAAATTATCATACCAAACAGTAAATAATTGAAGGAATCAAAGTTCAAGAGAAATATTAAAGTATTATTAAAATAAATTGATAATGGAATGTTCACTGATTGCCTTCATTTTTCTCCACCGACAGATAACTAATTTTATTCATAATAATTTTAATTCGTGGGAGATATTTACAATTTAAGTCACGAATGTGTAAGGGAATATCCTAAAAGTTTAACTTCTAAATCAAGTTAAAATGTTTGCCTACCATGACATCATTACCGAAAAGTTTTCAACATAAAGTTCCTATATGAAGCATTGTTATGATGATGAGTCGACGTTTTGTTTATTATTCTCTCACGTTATAATTCTCATTTTGCAGACGTTTTGCAATCTTTTCTTTCTTTGTAATGCTTGAGTTATGTATGTAGATACTTAAATTTTGTTTTCTGTTTATAACTTGCATACATGCTGCTCAACGCTGTTCGGTTGTCTTCATTGTTCGATTATCCATCCATTCCTGGGTATTATGTGGATTCATAAACATTAACAGCTATTCAACAATCGGATTCAGATTACAAAAGCTCATTCGAAGTCGTGATAATTCAGCCTATGGACGATGAAGTTCCAAAGGTGAAGGTTTACTCTAACGAACCGACATGTTAATTGCATTACACAAACTTCGAAAAATTTCACTCAAGCTGAGGATGTTAAAATTACATCATTACGATCAAATCCATGAAGATGTTTAATGTCTTTGAGTTTTTTCGATAAATTGTACGTCATTGAGTTCATCGCTATTTGAAATGAAGAAGAAAAGTCGTTTGTCAATTTACGAGATCAATTAAGCTTCATATTTCATCATCAATGATCATTGAAGTAGCCGAGCAGGTGCATTTAAAGCCTCAAGATTCCTATTTTTTATTATGTAGCTGGCGATAAAGAAAATCATTGCTTTGGAATCTAAAATATCCGATGAGTCGAAAAAGCGATAAAAAAGAGAAAAAATATTGCGATTTAATCATCATTGCCACTCCGCGACAGGTTGTGGTGTTGTCATTGTCAGCGTAATCGTGAGTCATTTTCTTTTATTGTTATTCAAACTCAAGCTTTAAGGAAAACGTAATGATTCACGGATCGACTGGCAATTAGTGACACAAAGCCAAGTAAGCGAGCAGAGTCGCAACGCAGTTAACTAATATGAGAAAATTAAATATGCAGTGTTAATAATTAGCGCACACCATGACGTATAAATTTTTATATAAACAACAAATTAATTTAATATTAAACAAGAATAAAAGAACTTATTTTGAGTAAAAAATCGCCAGAATTTGTATGACATCAAGGAAGATGATGACAGAAGCATTCACGTTTGGCATTTGTATTGATTGAGATTGTTTCCGGTAAAAAACAAAAAGATTAATGAAGTAAGGAAATCTTTATAATTCCCTATCAATCTCAACCAGACAATAAAAATCTCTGATCGGTTACGGTTGCACAAGTTCCTTTCAAGCAACAAAAAAAATATTTATTTCTTCTTGATTTTGACTTGCGTCGATCGATTATGGTGTCGATTTACAAGTCAATCAAATCAAGCTTTTCTACCGGGAAACTTTCTCTCTTGTCTGTTTAGAGTAAACCACAATAAAATTGAAGTTAAGAGCTTCATTGGCTCAAAGATCGGCATCTTTATCAAAATATGAATAAAACACTCCGAAACACGAATGAATGAAGTTTTCTTGTTAGATTCGCTTGGCACGTTTCTACAATCTTGTTGCGGTTTTCAGCTTTGACTCAAGGTTATCGATTATTCACGGATTTAATTAACGCTATTTACAAACAATTTCATTTGATTATTGGAAGATTTTTTTTTCTTAATCGTGAAAGAATGAAGATTGAGGTTCGCAAAGCTCATGATTTATAATTTATTTTTATAACTTTCAGATGGCACAACGACAACGATTAAGCTCAATGAGTGATCACAGCTCTCCATCAAGCGATGTTTCAGAGAACTCGGAAACTATTGATGTATCTGATCTACGCCATGACAATCTGAACTTGGAAACAAGTTTGAGCTCTGAAGTCACAGAAAGCGAACGGCAACAGATTGAAAGTTTTTTCAGTGGATTGGGGACAGAGGTTAATATCAATTAATGAAGTTAATTTATTGACATTGATCTAACCGAAAGTGGAAGTTTCACTGCGAAATATGTTTACATATCTACTACATCAATAGTTAAACAAAACTCCATCAAATAACTAAACAAGATGTAACTTCCAAGAAAATTTTGATGAAAAAAATAACAAAAATTGATTTATTATGCAAAGCGAATGGTTTGTGTTCGCATTGACGGCTGTGAGAAACGAAAGAAACATTAAATAAATCTCACGTGCTTCACAGCAGATTTGAAATTCAATTATGAGTCATTGAAAGCATTTGTTTGAACTTCAACTAATTCTATAGTCATGTCGAAGTGATTCCGGAAAACAATGACGACGTCATGTCAATTATTACATGATTTCGAATGTTTTATAAATGAAATTTTTATTTTGAGGTCATAAACTTTCCTTGATTGTTGTGTTTTCGTCAATGTTTCGGAAAAGTGTTTCTGCAAGTTTCTATAATCAACTCATCACTTTTCTTTAGTTAACTTCGTGGGAAATTGTGTAGATATCAATGTAACAATGATATGTGCTTGTCTTAAGCCTAATAACCCAATTTCAATTGTTCTTTAAGAACACAATTGTCTTTAAAAAGACAAGACTTATGAGCTTAAACTGAAAGTAGCTTACATCTGATTCGAAATTTTGAATTCACAGAAATTCCATTAAAAAAGGTGTTGATCATTAAAATAAAACAAATGTCAGCTAATTTACAAATTCAACTTCTTGTAACTGTTACATAAGCAACTTTTCCCTAATTTTCTGCTTACTATGTAAAGTAAATGTAAATTTCACACCTAAAATCTTACTTTCCTTGTTTCTTTTATTTGTTTTGTTGACTTTGTGAACGTTAATAGAAATACAAACGTGGAAATTTTTTTGATATCAAATTAAATTCCCAGAAGCTCTCAACACACAATGACATCACTTTTTCATTAATTTTTCACAGATTTATATCAGCTCATCGCTTGCAAATCTTTACGAAGGTGTCAAGAAAAAAGATTGGCGCTTAACCTACACCGGGATCCCTGTGTTGATGTATGATAAAGGTTCAGCAAAGAGTCGAAGTTCGCCGCGTGTAACTTTTGTTCTTGCAGAACGAGGAACATGTTTTGCATTGTGGAAAGATACAATCGACAACTTGTCCAACTATAAAGTCTCCGGTCCCGCCTTCCATACAATGTGCCTTTCAACTGGTGAGACTTTTTTTCTTCATTTTATTGTTTTATTAGCCCTTCCTGGAATTGTTTCTAACATCATCAACTCTTTATCTCTTTTATACAGATCACAGCAAGATAATTGGATTTAGTTTTGATTCCAACAGTTCTGCGATGGAATTTTGGGAGAACGTTGAACGGTTAATTAGCAATCCCGAAAATATTGCGCTGTCTGCACCAGGGCGTAAGAGAAAAACGAAAACGGTTAAACCCAAACCACTTCCTCCAAAATCTCAGATTTCTCATCCCTGTCAATTTTTGCATGTTACGAATGTGTCAGCTGATGACACATCTCGTTATCATAGTTTGCAAGTTTTTATGAAGCAAAATGACAAAGAAATTTGCTAAAACATTTATGATCATCAAAATAATCTTTAGTAGTTATGTAAGTTTGTCGTAGACTGATATAAATATATAAATATTTAGCTCAAGAAGAAACCTTGATATCTTCACATTGTTTCATTTAATATGAATTAAAATGATAAATTAATTATATTGCGTAACCTTCAAAGAATGTGAAAATTTTTCTTTTTACTCCGTGATTATTTAAATATTTACAGAAGCAAATCTGCGGGTGCGCAAATTTCAACGCGAACGTGTCATAATATTTTTATGTACGTCTCAAGTATGTTAAAGTTTATAAAACATAAAATTCTTGTATGCTTCATAATTTCCAATGTTGCATTCTTTAATAAAATTTTAATGAAAAGAGCCAAGTGGAATGATTACATTAATCAACTTTAATTGTTTAAATAAAGTATCAAGTTGTCTCATTTGAAAATAAAAAATAGTTTTTCCATTCCTCTCTTTATTCCAGTCATTCGACCAATTTATTTCACATAATTAATTTCGGTCTGTGTGTTGTTTCTGACCCTCGTGCATGTTGCATGACATCAAATTAATAGAAAATGAACTGTAACAAAATAACGGTTTTTGGAAGATTCAAAATATTTGAATTCATAGAAACCGTTAAAAAGGCTCATTGGAAATATTTCTAATGTATGTGAATTTATTTTTGTCATAAACATTGAATATGAGACATGAAGTTAAATGAAAGATTAAAACTTTTTACTATAATCAAAATCGTCTTCAAAATGATGATCAAATCCAGAATCAATATATCTTCTGTGTGATGGACTAGTTGAACTCATTGGACGACATTGTGATGAAGACATTGGAATCGGTGGTTCATCAAATCTCTGACAATTCGTTTCAGGAACGGGAGATGATGTTTCATATCGTCGTGATAATAACGTAAACTCCTGGTGAGCATTGCAAACAGTTTGAAGTTTCTGCAAAATATCACATTCTGGGTTTTCTCTCGTGTGAAGAAGTCGAGCTACTGAAGTTTTAAATGTTTGTAGCTGTGATAATCTATGATTGGTATCAGCCAAAGCACTCTTAACTCTTGCTAACTCTTCCCTCAAATTCTACAAAAAGAAAGTTTTGAAACTTTCAATTGAAATAAATTCATGAAAAACATTTTACATTGATTACAGCTTCATCACGTAACCGTCGATCATTTGAAGTATCAACTGCTGATCTTGCTCTAGTTTTGTATGATGACAACTGTGAAATTAATCTGCTCTTTTCATTCTCCAGGCATAAAACACGAGCTTGAAGTTCATCGATTTTTCTTGCCCTTTCTAAAGCCGTGATCTTTGATGAAAAGAAATTTTAAAGGAATGTTAAATTGAAAACAAACTTTCACATTAAACCTTGTAATCCGTGGCATCAGCAAGCTGCGCTTTCACATCAGCCAATTGAGTTTTAACTTCTAACAACTGATGTGAAGTTTTCTCATTTTGTTTGTTGTTTCTTTTCGCTCTACAAAGTGCTTCATCCCGTTCCGTTTGTAAAATTGCTTTGCCTCTCGCATTGTCTTCAAGGAGCGCAATTTTTCTTCGCAATAATTCCAAATGTAAGTCGCGACGTTGAACTTGTTCTCTCAACACCCGAACTTTTCTTTGAAGAGAGTAAACTGTTGAACTCTGAGATTTATTAAAATTATTAGAAGATGAAAATAAAATGAAAGAATTGAAATTACTTCTTTGAGTGGAATGTCATGACAACTTCGTTCACGTCGCAACTTTGGCAAGTGATGATGATGAGGTGTAGGAAGATCGTAGCAATTCTTATCGCAAAGGTCGTGATGTTCAGTGTGGATAGATAAACGTTCAGCTCTTTCCAAAAGTTGTTCAGCAAGAATATGAGTTTCATTGCCATGGGCCGGTTGATCAATGCAATCACTCCAACACAAAGCTCTTGCCAAACGAACTAAATATTCCGACAATGTCAAATGTTCATCTCTCATCTGTGACATTTCATTGCAAGCTTTCTCCAATTTCTCTTCCAATGCTACACGTTGACACTCTTCAGCTCTAACCCGACATTGTGTTGTCTCTTGAGTCTCACGTAATCGCGTTGATTCGACATTCAATTGCTCTCGCAAATTATGAATTTGCTAAGAATATTTTAGCGAAAAATAAAAAGAGATTAACGGATTATTGTAGAAACTACCAAGTTCGCATGAATCTGTAAAAAAGACAAACTTACGTTGTGCATTGTTTGATTTTCATTCGTTATTTCTCTAACTTTATCTTTGATGAGAGACTCGCAAGGTTCGCTAACATTCATAATTGATCCAATGTTTTTAAGGAAAACCAATCGATCGTTTTGTACGCGATCTAAACTTGACTGCAAACGACAACATCGTGACTCAAAGCCACGAAGTTCTTCTGCGATGGAATTGAAACAATGAACAATTAATTATTTATTATTAACAGACTTAAAGTGGTTTACAGACACACCTCTAAGTTTATCAGCTCCCATGTCAGTTTCGGTTAATCGATCGCGCGTCAATTGAAGGTCACGTTCAGTGCTTTTGCAGCGTGCTTCAAGGCCAGTTGTAATAGTTTTCAACGACTCAATTTGAGCATTCAAATGTGAACGTTCAGATGAACTTGCATTTCTTAAATTGTGCAATTCTGACTCGCAACCATTTAAGCTTTCACATGTTGCTGCTAATTTAGAACGAAGTCGCTGAAGTTCACTGACAACATCGCTGGTTTTGTTTAGAACACAATCACTTGTTATGTGTGAGTTATCACTGACGTCTAATCCAAGAATGCATCCAAGTTTTCGAATTAATTCACTAAAATTAACTTTAGCTTGTTCACGGAGATTTTCTTCCGATGCCAAATCGAGTTCCAATCTTCGATGCTTTGAACACAATTCTTTGACCTTCTCTTCTAAACATCGTTTTTCTCTTTGCATTGTGTTTGATGTTTGTTCACTTCTCATATGAATATTTTTTTCGCGTGTTTCCGTAGCTTGAAGTCGTTGTTGCAAAGACATTATTAGTGCTGATTGCCTCGCTCCTTGAGCTCTTAATGTTTCGCATTCATTTTCCTTCGCACACAATCCCGCTTTCGTGTCTGCCAATTCTCCCATTAACCGATCGCGTTTGTAAGTCAAAGCCGCAAGTTCACTTCTTAATGTTGTCACGAGATCAATTGAATGACTTAAATGATCGCCTGTCAAGTGATCAATGTTGCACCCCATGTCGGTCTGGAAGGAAATCAAGCAAAAATTTATTTTTCCGATAAATATCAAGAAAATGAATAGAAAATCGATAACAGGAAAATTATTACAATGAAAAATAGCACAAAAATTAGGTCAAAGGCAATTAAAGAATTTTTTTTTTTATTTGAACATCAAGAAAAAAAATCTCACATGATGATGGTGATGATGATGATCATTTGGCATTTTAAAGTTAAAACACTTTACACTTTGCTTTTAATTATTTTACTAAGAAAGCTTCAATTATAAATCTCATCAATACTTGAATAAATCAAATTCAATTTTCCTTCAATTGAATCACAAAACAAAAATCTCACAAGACGTAAAACAAATCTCAACTTTATCGAAAGGAAATTCTAGCGATGAATGAAGGAATTCTTTGAGTGGGAAATAGTTTTGCATTCAGGAAAGAAAAAAAGTCAAAAAGGGGAAAAGGAAGTTAAATATAAAGTTATTTTCAATACATTTACGATATGCAAGATGGAAGAATTTTGTCGAAATTAAAATCGATGTAAACAAACTGACGAGGTTGATATGGGAACGAATCATTCAAAATGTGAATTTTCCTTTTTTCAGACTCGATTGGAATGTTAAAGATTAAGGAAGAGGGTTGGAGAGATTAATATAAATCAAACATAAAACATAGAATCATTCTATACATCGAACCTTTTCCATATCTTTACACAACACATCAAATATTTCCCAATCTCGTTCACTGTTGCCTGTGCCATCGTCTGTTAGTCGCAATGACATTTTAAAACTTTTGCTACAACTTTCAGCACTTTATTTATTATCCCTTGATGCTTTTGATAACAACAAAAGGCTTTTCATTCAAATTTTATAAAACTTTTTGAATGATTAATAAATTTCATTTGAATCTAAAATATTCAAGAAAATATTTCAACACCACATCTGATCCCGTGAACTATTAAGAGAAACATGGAGGAAATTGTGTTTAGAACTGAACCAGGAAGAATCAAAATATTCCTTATTTTATGTGTCCCTTTATGGCTGATTTGTGTTGGGGCTTTTCCATGGAGAATTTGTTGAATTCTCTAAACGACGTCTGAGTTTCAAATAAAAGAAAAACGAATAACAAAAACGTTGATATCACCACCAAAATACTACGGCAACTGTATGCAGAAACTTAGAAATGCATATTGGAATTCAATCTAATTCATTCAATGCGGGGGTGGATTGAAAAATCATGTTCAGTGAAATTTATTCGCGCAATCGATTTAAATTTTCACACAAAATCAATCCTAGCATGAAACTTTTCACATTTGATTTGTTATCATGCAAAATATTCAAGAGAAAAATAACTTTTAAAATGTTTCAACATCAAACTTACTCACACACACACGCATGAGAATATTTTTTGAAGAATTCTGTCAATGTGAATTTTGCTTCAATTTTTTACAGTTTGTTGAATCGATTGTTGTTGTTTTATCAATTGTTTAGAATTATCCTTGAACTGTTTAGAGAGTTGGTGACATGTTTTTATTTATTCCATCAAACATAAAAAGGGTTGAACTCATCCAATCAACTGTAAGTTGCACATCCAAAATTTGTATTTAGCTTGGAAACAGCTGGCAGTTGTGTATTCAATGAAAGTATCTTGTGTAAGAAGAAACCGAAGAAACGAAACGGCAGGTAAAGAAAGCAGACAAAATTCATTGTTGGAAACGAAAAGGTGAAGAAACGAAAGGCAACGCATAAAGAAAGAGAACATGAAATATTAAAGGATTTCTTTTACGTCTCTTTCGATCTTTATTTTCTTATCGGAGTAAAAATACAAGAAAGAAAAGAAAGACTTCATGCACAAGTGCCTTTTGTGGTGCATACTGCATTTTATGATCACCTAGCTGAAACTCTATCCTACTCAACGAGTTGAAAGGGAATAAAAGGGCTTTCTGGACATTCAGAGGACTTTACTATGACCGAATGAAATTTCTGCTTGCCAGTTGCTTTCGGATTGTCTAAGAAGAAGCATCGAATCGTAAGTTGCTTTCATGTTTTTTATTCGAAGTTCGTCGTAGCTTTTTAAGAACAACATAAACTTTGTCTTGTTTCTCACTCCATCTTCTTGTCTTTCTCTCACTTTGCCTTTGTTATATAAAAAATTTTTCGAGCAATCTCTCATTAAATAAGAATGAACAGCAAAAAAAATCGTCGAGGAAGAGGAAAAAAGATAAATTAAGAACGTGAAGGGAAAAAATTAAAAAAAAATTCTCTCAGAGTGAACAATGGAATGAAGGTGGTGGATGGGCGAAGTTTTTCTTCTGATTCTTTTTCTCTCAGGAAAAATAAGTTAAAAGTGTATAAAGACGGCTAAGAATAATTTTTTTTCTCTATAAATTACGATTTTTTTGTGACTTGGAAGAAAAGAAATCTCGTTGTCATGCTGCCATGGGCGCCTAGTACATTTCTGCTTTCATTGGTCAAGTTTGACTTGAATTCGTACAACAAAATTATGGCCAGTCAAATGCGAGACTTTTACGGGTGACGATATATTGTTATAACCAATAACAAGCTTGAGGCTTGCACCAACATTTAAACCCTAAAATTATATTGGACATGAGAAAGTCTGATTTCAATTCATTGATGCTCCCACAAAGTTGTTTGGTTGGATGGAAATTTTCTCGCCCCCTTCCAACTTTTTTTCTTGCTTCAAATGTGAATGTCGTCTGGATGGCAAGAAGGGGATTATTGTGAACAAGAAATTTAAAATTCCTAATCATCCCTGTTGTGTTTTATTCTTAATCTGAGTCGTCTCAAGTTTCATCGAGCCGTCGTATTAATGACTAGAAAATACTCGCGCATCCGTTGATTGCTGTGATGATGATAAAAACTTGCTAATGATGATGGTGTCGTGTAAAACGACAACAAAAATTCGCCAAAAAAAAAAGAGCAAAGAAAACGATGCGATGGGTGAAATGCAACAAACGTTTCATGTTTTCCTGTCTCAATTTATTTAATAAATATTGCATTTCAACGTTTGTAGCTTTACTGTGTGCCATGACAAAGTCTTTCGAAAATGTTGAGATTAAAATCGTGTGCTAGCTTCATTCGTTCGGATCAGCTTTTTAATTTTAAGTTCAGCAAAACGAAGTTAGTTTTAACTTAAAACTTTTAAGTTTAATCTTACTCCCAAAAATAGTTTTTTAAAATCGCTGGTGGTAGCGTATCATGAAATTTGCTACTTGCTGTTTATTTTCAGCGCATTTTATCGGAATGCATTTCAGCATTTATTCTTTAGGAGCTTCTTTTTCACGCAAGCATTGAGAAATATTCTCACCAGCAATCTTTTGATAAAAGAAAGAAAAAATTTGTTTTTCCCTTCGATGAATTCAATTTAATTCGATGTATTCAGCATGTGAAATAAAATTAACCACGAGTAGAATGTTTTTTATAGAATGCATGCTACGACAGAAAAAGGGAGAAATAATGTCGACACAAAACGTGTTACACTTTCATAAATATGTGGCCCTGTTACTTTGTACATTCAAAAATTTTAAATAATGAAAAATGAGCTTCGCATATCGTATGCGATGTTAGTTTCGAATTCGCCAAAAATCCCCTGAAACGAAAAGAAAACTGAAAGAAAGAAATGAAGAAAAAAACGGCAAAACTGATTACTGAGTGTTGTTAGCGTTTTGATGTTTTATGTGTTCCTAATGAAAGTAGCAAACTGGAGACTCGCTTTTGAAGGAATATATTCGTCAAGTCGCAGTACTCAGACAGAAATGGAATAGAATGCGATTCGTTTTCGACAACATCTACAGAGTCGCGAGGTTCATACCTTCTTTTTGAGGGTTTAAAGAAACCCTCAGACCTCTCCTAAACCTCTTCAAACTTCTTATCAAAATTGATAAGAAATTTAATGTCAACTTAAAATAAGTTCCCATGACATTCAAATCAGTTCAAATTTCTCAAATGTTTTTTCAATTAAGCTACTCAATTAGAAAACAACACTTTTAAAACCGCCGACTAACGAAACACAAAAACTTCTCACACATTCAAAATTTAAATGAAAAACATCTGATCGAGTTTTGAGTTCACTACTAAGGCACAGTCTGTTATCACTAATGTATAAATAACGAGTCATAAACACAACTTTTATTTAGTTTCAGACAGTTAACCAACTGAATACTTCTCAAAATGACTTCTCACAACATAGAATTGTCAATTGATACGTTCGGATCAGTCGAAAATCCAATAACAAAAAAACAAGAGGAAGTCAAAAAGTTTACATGGAGAAATGTTGAGAATGGAATGTCAGTAGTTTTGATCTCATATGGAGTAATCATTCAGTCAATTAAAGTCCCAGATCGGTCTGGAAATCTTGCTGACGTTGTTTGTGGATTTGACGATGTTTCTGGGTACTTGCAGAGTAATAATCCATATTTCGGAGCAATGGTTGGTCGTGTTGCCAATAGAATTGCTCATGGTGAGTTCGTTTTGAATGGAGAAGTGAGGAAAGTAGCGAAAAATTGGAATAACAAACATCATCTCCATGGTGGAATCATTGGATTCAATAAATTCAACTTCAATCATTATGTTGTTGGAAATGTCGTTTATTTGAGTCATTTGTCACCTGACAACTTTGAAGGATATCCCGGAGATCTTTTGCTCACAATAAAATGTGAACTCACTTCGGACAATTCAATTGCTATGGAGTACAAAGCGACAAGTTCTAAATCAACGCCAATCAACTTGACTAACCATTCATACTTCAATTTAGCGGGACACGTAAATATTGCAAACTTTCCATGATATCTTTCAAGTGTTTCACAATCTATTTAAATTTTTCTAAATTTAGGAAACTGGATTCGAGGAATTATACAAACATGTTATAAGTATTAATGCCGATAAGATAACCGAGACTGATTCGGAGTCCATTCCAACAGGGAAATTTACTAATGTTGGTGGAACTCCATTCGATTTGAGAATCTCAAAGGAACTTGGACCGGCAATGAGAAATCTGAACGCAATTGGTTACGACGATAATTTTTGTATTAATATTCCCAAAGGATTTCAAAACTCTCTAAATTTTGTTTCGAGGTAAAAAGTGTTTGAAAGCCATTGCTGAATTAAACTTTTAACATTTATTTCTAGAGCTGTTCATCCACCAAGTGGAAGATGGTTAGAAGTTTCCAGTAATCAAGAAGGTGTTCAACTATATACTTCAAACTTTTTCCCTGATCCATGCGGAAATGTAAGAAGAGAACAGAAATATTCCTTTTGAAATATCACAAGAATTAAATGATTTAATTTTCATATTTATCAGATTAACGCATCAAGATTCGTCAGTGAGAACTACTATGAAGTAGACGGAGTATTGACAACAAAACTTGATAAAGTGACGGTTTCGACGAAAGATGACAATTCTGCAAAATGTTCAGATGAATCTGCACTTGTCGGAAAAGGTGGAGTTCATTACTTGAAGCATGGAGCATTTTGTTTAGAAACTCAAAAGTTTCCTGATGCTGTTAATCACGTAATTAACTTCTTTGCGAGACTTTTGGCTCTAATTAATTAATGAATTAATTATTTTTTTACAGAGCAACTTCCCGTCGGTGATTTTAAATCCTGGTGAAACATATCAACATGAAGTTGTTTTCAAATTCGGATGCGAAGCTTGATTCAAAAAAATATAATTTACATGAATGTTGTACGATGTAATAAAAGAAATATCTGCGAGCATGGTAGAAAGAAAGAGTTTTCCATATTCACTTTTCCAGACAACGATATTCCCGTCTCTACATATCTCTTGCGAAAGGGAAGTAAAACGAATAAAAAGGTTTTCCCATCTCTTTACTTCACGTTTAGTAATATTTTCCATGCTTGCCTGTTTTCGAGGTTACAAAATATTGAATGGGTTGAAATTTCCTGTAAGCATTTTCATTGATTCAGTGGCGTGTTGCTTTCTTGGGCGGTAACATTACAAATATTTATAAACTTTGAAAAGCAGTACGCTCATGTATATAAATTTCTATACGAATGAATTTTATAGGAGAATTTTGGAAACTAAAGGGTTATAGCAACACAAAGGAGGATCTTTAATAAATAAGTGGCATAAATATTGAAAACATTCTTTACCTCAAATATTCACGAAAGGAAAAAGGAGAGTAAAGAGAAATTTTCCTTTAATTAAAATAAAAACAAGAGAAGAAAAGACTTCATTCGGGTCCCCTCGGCACTGAATTTATAATTACAATTACAACAGCAAGACGTCTCGGCTTTTTATACTAATAGGGGGGGAAAAGGGATGATAATTTACATGAAAACAAACGTTGAAGATGGCTTTTCCTTTCCTCTTTTTTTATTTTTGTTTCGTGAGCGTGGAGAAAATGTTTTTAATTAGAAAAGGAAAATTTTAGCGGAAAAATTACTTCTTCAGATTCATGAATGTCTAGTAAGTAATTATCATTTCGGTAGGTTTAATTAATTAGAACAATTAAAACAGTGAGAGGCTGGAGTTTTTAATTACTATTTTTCTTCTTATTGTTGCTTTTTCTAAGGGAAAAGAAATTGTTTGAGGAGAAAAATAAAAATCGTTTCGTAGTCAAAATTTTCTTGTTGTCTGATATTTTACTGAATTATACGAGAAATTTCACCTGTTACGCAGGCCAACATTTCTTCTTGTTTGGGAATGAAGCAGCTGGATTTTATAACGGGCGAGTTTCAGGCAAAGTTCAGGAGGGTTTTCTGAACGCCTAGTCATGAATATCAGACATTAAGTTTGACAATCAGTAAAACGATGCGCACAAAAGCCGTAGCTATAACGGAGTCAGTTCTCCTTTCATCGACGGAGAGGTTTTTACGTCGGCGATACACTTTTCTTTCTAGTTTTTCATGTCGTATGAAGAGGATAGAAAAATGTTTGGTATTTGCGTATTCACATTGAATCAACAGCGCAACGATTCATATCCATGATGCGTCATAGGAGAATATTTTTTATTTATTCTTGAACTCTTGCAGCGCACTTTATGTCAGCACAGCCGTTGGAGGTGAAGCAGAAATCATACTCAGATGCCTCTTTTTACATAATTCGCGTACATGTGTTTAACACTCTTCCTTCTTTCTTATGCTAGCCTCGTTGTCATCATTTCGCACGCAGATGCAAAAAAAGAAATTCACTGTTGAAGTTGAAGAAAAGGAAAAAAACCCTTTTCGATTCTCAAACAACTCAAACGCGTTCGCTATTAATTTTCAAAACGCATTCTCGATCCGGAATGATTGTGAACTGAACACTGAGAATAATTGGAAGTGAAACTTTCGGTTTGAAACGTTAACGTGCAGCGAGAGTCTCAGTCGAGAGTCAGTATCGACGAAAACAACGTTTTCGTGAAGCGAAATGGACAGAAAAACATAAAAGTTTGGAGTGAAATAAAATTTTCATTGTTTCTGATTCGTTCGTGTTTAATTCATAGACAAAATGGAGCTTTTAATAACCATACATAGACGAAAATATTTTGAGCGCTTAGCTTGTCCTAAGCTCACAAATTTTATTTCATAGCTTCACGATTATCGCTTGAAAAGTTTCATGAAATCCAATCATAAATGAAACAGAAATCCCGTTTAAGTAAAGTTTTGTTCGGTCGTCATATTACTCAGCAAACAAAATAAAAAATGAAACTTGTGAGACCTCGTGTATTACCTCGCCAAGGCAAGTGGATTTTAAGAGCAACTTAATAAGCAAACATGAAAATTTGTTGTGTTTGTTGACTGAATGCCATACAAAATCACTACAAACCTTGAGCGCTCGATTCGTGAAGTTCAATGATTAAGCCATGGTTAACTTACATCAATAATGAGCTTTTATTACAGGTAAAAGGTGGAAAAATAAATGATTGCCCTTTTCCAATACTTCATCTATAAAAAGATTATACGAATTCAGTTTTTTCGTTTGCTAAACACACAAAAAAAGTGTTCAGTAAATGAAATATCACTGCTAAAATGGTGATACAAGGTTTGCGAATCTGAAGCTACGAACGTCTCATAAAACCAATAAATTTATAATTTTGTTTTATTTTTGGCGCGTTCTGACAACATTTTTGTTGAACATGCTGCGATTTCTTCTATCCGCAGACTCCGCAAGACTGAAATGATGAAATGGTTGTGGACTGGAATGGAAGAGAGAAAATTTGCAAACAGTCTTCGCATGATGGCTTTTTTTTATAGTTTTTTCTTTCTTTTCTCTTCTGCACCAACTGTGATGCAGATCAATATGTGATCCTAGTTGAAATCATACGTCATGTTATACTTTGTATAATTCGCTTCCCTTTTTTATTCTTCTTTCCACAAAGGAGTTCGAGTGCGTTTTGAAAAGTTTTAAACTTAAATTAAGAGTACAAAAAGAAACTTTGAAATTCAATCGAAATGGAGAAATTGTGAATCGAAAAGTGTTTGCTTGTCATTGACTTTCATCTTTCTTGACAATTAAACGACATCTACGACAACGACACTCATCGTTAAGTTTCAGAAATATGAATTTCTGAGTCTTTTCTTAACTAAATAAAAATGATTTCACATCAACTAAGTAAATTTAATGATTTTGACTGATGTTGGTTGTACCTCTTCGTGAAACGCTTTTAATTTCACCATACAGCTAGGAGAGCATGAAATGAAGCAAGTCTCATGTAACTTTCGCGATGACTAAATAATCCGATTGCTTGAATCATTACTTTAATCTCATTTTGTGAAGCTTAAAAGTTATTCAAAAAAAACTAACTTAGCTTTGAAGTTTAGTTTGATGCTACTTAAGCTTGGAAATATTTAAATCATCTTTTACTACCTTTCATTTCAGTTCAGTCCATGACAGGGATCGTGTACCAAGATAAGTTTAAAATTTTCTGAGCAAACCCATTTCAGCTGAACACACAACGTTTCATCGGAGTTTAGTTTCCTCGGGAAACGCTTTTAATTTCACCATTTCATTAGGCGAACATGAACCAAAGCATCGCTCAATTTTTATTTTCATACATATTGCAGTTTTAAAATGGTTGATATCTCAATATATTTTATTAATATTTCTTCAATTTCAGATTACTTGACAATCAGATAAATAAATTAATTAACTTTTATCGAATCATTGATAACAGTTTCATATGAAACACACCATAAAATGATTAAATATCATAAATAAACTTTAATTTATTTTATGTACTAAACTTTTTATGATTAGACTAACATCATTGCAAAAACTAAAATTTATAATCAAACTCAAAGTTGATCAACGTGTTGCAATGTTCCAAAACAATCTCGTGTTAAAAGTCTTTCAATTAAATGTTTCTTAATTAATAAGAGAAGTATTAGCGAATAAAACTCTTACGTCATAATTTCAATCGGTTTTAAATCATTCGTAGAAGATTATTCGAGGTTTAATCATCCGAATGTAAGAAAATATTTTCCGTCTTTCTTCAACCAAATGAAACTTAAGCTACCTTAGATATAAATGCACAAGAGGAAAAGGAAAGAAAGTTTCATGTGATTTTCAGGTTGTCTGAGTCTTCTCAAGTGAAGATTTTAGCTTTGAAAAAGAAAGAAAGAAAACAGTTTGGAAGAAGAGTAGGAGGAAAAAGAGAAGATGGTTTGATACATGCTTAAAAGATGTTACCCTGTGATCAACTCGGATTTCTTGATTCTTTGGATGCTGTTTGATCATCTCTTACAGTAAATTCCATTGTTTTCGCTTAATCTCATCTAGTTTAAAGATGAAAGCCAAATATCTCCAACATTTTCTTCTTCTATCCCACAGAGTTTTTGAAAAAGAAAAAAAAATTGTTTCATACTCTTCTCGAATGATAATCCCAAAAACTTTTCCCGTCTTTTTTCCTCCCTCTAGTTTTTAACGTAACGAAGAAGAACGACAACATTAACCGGTGAGTAAGGTCGACTATAAGAGAAAGAAAAAAACGCCTCTGCTATCATGCTTTTGCATGAGGAAAAAAATGAAATGAAACGTCAATATATTTCTCTCTCAGACCTGATTTGAGTGGCGGTTTTGAAAATATATTCCTTCCAATGTCTTTTCCGCAACGACATGAGCCGCAAATATTGTGTTGTATTTTTCATTGTTTCTCATATTCTAACAGGGTTCAAGATTTTGAAGCACGAAAAATAAATAAATTGTTCATTTTAACTGCTGGCGATGAAGGAAGACAGAAAATATGAGAAAAGAAGGGAAATTTTTCAACGATATTAAAATTCAATGTTGATTCTTGTTCTTATTTCTTTTGGGTTAAAATGAGAGATTTCATGTGGAATAAAATAATTCATAAAGATTAAGGTTTCATTTTATGAATCGGTTAAATATTTAATCGGTCGATTTACTTGATGTGAACGATCAATAGTTGGTAATAAATATTTTAATGTCATGTTTGCATTTAGATTCTTTCTAATTTATTTGAATGCATTCAATTTAAAAAAATCTTTTTAAAATATTTAAGAAAATTCATTCAAAATATTTTGAAAAAATAAATGAAATTCCTTATCAGGTGCTAAGTATGAATGACAATTTCTAATTAAAATATTTTAAAATTTAAAGATATCAACAGAGCTTCTTAAACAGTTTATCAGCAACCTTTAAACCTTCATAAGAAACAAAATAATTTTTATTCAGAAATCAACAATTCATTTCAAAACATTTCAATGTTTTTCATTTTTTCTTCTCAAGTTTCGTAGTCTCAAGCAGTCTGTTCATTACGTGTTTAAAATTAACAGGCTTGTAGACTTCTAAGCAGCGGATTAAATAAATTGAACCTTACGAAAAGCATTTTTGTGCTTGGAAACTAGAGGCGCATCAAATCGTGGACATTGTTAAAATTAAATTTTGTTAGTTCAATTTCATTTGGTGATGTTTTAAGAATTGAATTTAATCGCTATGCTCAAAATCAAATCAATCCAATGAATGTTCACAAAAATAATTTATTTTGCCTCACCAAAAATTGTCAAAGTTTCTATAAAGTTTTATATTCCAAAAGGGTAAAATTTCCCAAGACAAGATGAAAGAAGGTGAAAAGAAATGCAGGCAACCAGTATGATTGTCGTAAGAAACACGTATAAGAAACACGATAGAAACCAAGACTACATAAATCATCTTTTCATATCTTCTCAAACAATAATTTTTCGAATTAAACTCGACTGTTAACTCGAAAAATCTTTTATAACGAAAGCAGCTTGTGAATTGAAATTATGACCAGAGATTTTTCGATGCCGCAATAAAATCAATGGCTATACTAGGCGTTCATAAGTTGCTGAATAAATTAACGATTTTCGATAGACTTTAACATGACTCTTGTATGTTTCAGACACAACTGAAAGATATTCTCGACCTCACACGCTTTTTCGAATGTCTTGTTTATCGTCGCCATTAAATATTTTAATTCCCGCTTAGCGAACGACAAGTTCATTTGAAAATATCCCTTCAATTTGCAATAAGCGCCTTCAATTTACGTAGAGACATAAGTCTTCTTTCTCTGGCGACTTTAACGAGCACCGGCAGAAGTTTGCAGGAGGAATGAGAGTTTTTAGTTATTTATAACGGGGAATCAGAAGTCATGGCATGTTCTTCGTTTTTGTTTCTCTACCGAAAACTGTACAAACGATTTTTTCACTGCCTTTCAATGCTTTCTTTCTACACGATAAGTAGGAGGTGAATTTTCCAAGTGATTTTCACAGAAATTTTCTCTCGTCAGCGAAATTTCCTTGGAGATTGGGAAAAATATCTCATGGGAAAATTTTCTTTCATATTTTTTGTAGTGTTAGAAATTTGTAAACATGGAATTTCTCTATGGAAAAATAAGAAATAGAAGAAATATCTCCACCATAGTGAAAAGGAAAATCGCTTTCCACCTAAATATATTTCAGCTACCAGAAGACAATAAAGTGCCGGTCTATAGAAGAATTTTCCGAAACATGAAAGGTGGTTTCCAAGTTTAGTATAAATAGATATTTTACTACCAATCGTGCGCGCAACCATCATCAAGCCTCTTTTTTTCCTCGACTACAATAAACTCCCCCACATCGCACTCTGGAAGACTTCAATGGTGTTGACGAAAAGAGACGGAGCTCAAATGTATAAACATAATCCTAAAATCGTGCTAGGTACAATGTGCTGTGTGTCGGCAATGCCGCAGGGGCACTGCGTTCATAACGCGCATGTGTATCATGTCGGATTTATTTATATCAGAGAAGAGTGAATGCCTTGGTACTAGCTAAAAATAACTACCCTCGCAATGCAACGGTAATAAGAATGTTAATGAACAACAAGTGCGTTCGTGAAACGGAAAAATCGGGATGAAAATAGAGCAGCTCTCAGGACTTATGTGTGGTTGGTAGAAATCAACGGAAAGCTATTCAATGTCGGAAAATTTCCTTGAATTTCCACAATTTCCTTTACGCTACTTTTCTTTTGTTTCAACATTTTTTTCTCTCGTCTATTTCACAAAATATCCACAAAGACTTTTTGTGCTGTGAGAAATGAGAAAATTCATATTCTTTGGTTTTCCATTCCATTTACTATGCGGAAAATTTTCCCGAAAAGGAAATTGCAACTCTTACAAATATCAAAATAAAAGAAAATCTTCTTTTAACCAGGAGTAAAAGAAATAAATAAATGTTACCAGACACTCAGTTTAAAATCAACAAAACTATTGTCTAACATTGTATGTTAATGATGTGTCGTTAAATAATCCCAACAAAGGTTACAACACATGTCAACATTCACATAGTCATAATCATAACATAAAAGTTCATTCAACTTCCAACCATTTAAAACATTGCCGCATTTAAACAACAAGCTGTTTGAGAAACTCAGACAGAGAAGAAACGAAGAGAAAAGCAAAATAACGAGCGTCTATGAACTTATGCGATTCTATTCATTTAAAATATGTGGTGGGTTGCTCAAAAAATAAAACTTTCTGTATGGGAACGTATAATGTATTGAAATGAAAAGTGCGGATCACGCCCACCCAAAAAAATCTCGGCGCTCCGGCTTTTATGTCTTTATCACTGTGTGTCCAATTTGTTAAGCTACCTTCCAGCTATGGAACCTTCCCTCTTCATTGACTTGGCTTTGCCCCAAAGAGGGAAACATTAAATACCTCAGCTGACTTGCAAATGACTAGCATCGATGGTTGAAGAAATAATTCGTTGGAATTATTTTTCTACCTGATACATTTCAGATATCTTGCTACTCAAAAGTTCATCGTGTAACACAGCTTTTGATCCTGCCCCAATGTTAATGTTCCGCATTAAACAGCAAGCGTCATCAATAGGAGGGTTCTATCTAAAGTTGGTCAAGGTTCACTGAACTGCGTCATTTCATTTCATGGTGGAGCTTAAACTTCATTAATACATACGTTAATATTGCGCTAATTCACATTCGCTTTATCGTTTTATTAAACGTATTGATGTTGATAAGCTTGAAGTGTCGTCAAATGAAATCAATTCCTCATTGCCTTGTTATCTTAAATATATTAAAGCTCTCAACACATCCCACAATATGCGTTATGACCAACCATAGAATTTTACAAATAGTTAAATTTTCTCTTTTGTTTTACGCACTTCCCAAAAGTGTGGAAAATTTGCATTAAAAAGCAAGTGGAAATTTTTTTTCTTTTCTCCCTCTTCATGAAGACATGATTTTAGTCATATCCCACTTTAATGTGCACAACCCAGGCTACTGCTCGTCAAATGGAAATTATTATCGAGTCTTAGATAGGAAAAAAAGGGAGCATGATTCATACAAGGAGTAAAATATTTTTCAACAACCCTCTTTGTTATATCGGGTAAGTATGGTTGAGGAGGAAAATTATTCGCTTCTTCTTGTTCTCTTGTAATACTATAAAGTGCTGTGTAGCAAAAATAGGCTGATTTTTCGGAACATCCCACAAAGTGGAAAAATGTGTGTGTAGCGAACAGGCTACGACCAAAAAAGCAATTGCGTCATTGCTTACCACTTTGAGAGATTTTTTTGGAAAATTTTCCAAACTTTTCTTAGTGTTGTGAATGTCCGCATGAATATTTGTAAATTTTCCCTTTTTTCATGCTTAAACGAACGAAGAATTTTCGTTGATGATTTTGTGAAAAACCAAATTCTTCGTTCCTAATACCGCGATATTATTTAAAATGTACCTAAAATTATTTTAATTCTTATAAGATGAGATTTTTTACACTAAAAATAGTTGTTCGATGTTGTGAAAGTTTTGGAGGATGTATGTGCAATTCATGCTTTGCCGCTTTTCTCAATAAAAGCAAGCCAAACATCTAGCGAAGAGAAAGTTTTAAAGGGAAATTCTCTCGCGCTTTTTCCCTCAATTTCCATTCAAACGTTTGTTGTTCTTTTAAGATGTTTCGGGCCTATCGTGCGATTATGTTTGCTTGTTACTATTAAATATGAATATGACTGACAATAGGAGGTTTTTGACTGAAAGATGTCATAATATTTGACATGAAACAACATTTTTTTTGCTCAAGAGTTTATTCTGAAACTTCAGTTGTGTTTGATCGAAATGTAATTATCATGATTGCGATGTAATCATTGGCAGTCATCATACCTCAGTGAAAGTCTCACTAGCAGTAGATTTTTGTTTTTATTTTGAAAAGCCGCAACACCCTACGACTATACGATAGTCTCCGAAATCCAACAACGCTTTTGGATGATTTTCAGATGTTCAGTTCAATGTAAAAGGGAAGAAGGAAATTGTGGATGTTGGTCAAATCGTAACATTTCACTTTACACTAGAAATATATTTTGTTTTGTTATGATTAAATGGCTACAAATTTTCAAATTAAATAACTTAATTCATATCTTTCAATATTCTCACACAAAAATACAAATTGATCAGAAATATAAAATAATAAACTTTAATAATCATTATGAGAAACAGTCGTGTCTTCGTCAAATAAAAGCTTCACCTTTTGTTTGTACCTCCTCGTTCCGCCTATTGAATCATCTTTAAGAAAGAAGGTTTGACATTGAGCAACTTTAAAAAATATTTCTTCATCTTTTTTCAAAACTCTTCGAAAAGATCAAAATTTATTAAGAATTTAATTTTTCTCGTGTACGAAAAATAAAAGTTAAAAAAATGATCGTGAAACAATAAAAAAATTCCTTGAAGCCGGGTAATTTAGATTTAAAGTCTTATGAATTTCAATGTGACTGAATTGCTTCCCTACTAGACTGCACTCTTGATAGTCTTTTCCGAAATCATCAGAATGAATGTTTCGTTCAGTTGCCGGTGTTTCATTATAGGATGGCTCTGCTGTTCATTAAAAGATTTTTAACTTCTCTTCGTTCTTCTCTTTCCCATCAAGCGACTTTTTTTCCCATGAAATTTAACATCAAGGCACTGGTTTTGCATTCAGTAGGATGGAAACGATTGAATCGTCTTAATGGTTGGGTACAAAGAGGAGTTTATATAATTTTTTGTTGTTGAAACCTCCTTTCCGCCATCGCCAGTGGGAAAAAAAGCTGGGAAAATTTGTGAAGCTAAAATTTATTTTATATTTGATATATTAGGCGATCATGAAGTACAAGAGTTGGTTATTGGAGAAAATAAAATGTTTTGGAATGATCATATGCTTTTTTTCCTTATGAATTTTTATAGAATTTTAATCAAGACATAAAGTTTATAAACTGTTTCATTATCTTGATAAAGATTTGAATTAAAAAATCTTACATTTCATTCATTATAATTAATAAATTGTCTGGAAATTTTAAAACAAAAATTTTCGTGGTTTCTCATTAAAAGTTAGTTCAAGTAACTTGATATAAGATGTCGCTTTGAAACGTTCGTGTAATTTTATTGTTAAGTTTTTTTTTCTCTTTTTTCATCAATTGACTGGTGAAATGATATTCAATTGCACAAGTAATCAAAAAACAGTAAACGTCTAAAGCTTTCTGGTAAATTCCAATCATAATTGAAATACTTTGAATTCCACACATTCCAATCCGAATTCCTGACACACAATGGAAAATATGTGAAAAATTCATCGTAGTTTTCTGCTTTCCTAAACAAACAATTCGCTCAAATTGTCTTCGCAAAGCGTTGGGAATTGCACTTATGCGAGCGACGGGAGTTGATGCTTTGAAAACACTCTATCAAAAATTTATCAAAAACCACGCCTTTATATATTTATACTACAGCTGTGAAGAGAAGTGATGATAAAAACTCCCCAAACTCACTGCCAAGTGTTTCATCGGGGTGTTGTATTATTATTGTCACTCTCCTGACATAACAAATAAAGTGGGTGAGAGTTGTTTAGGGCTGGAAAACAATCATTTTCCACTTAGAGAAAACTTCTCCAATTTGTTAACTAATACAAGAATAATAGAAATAATTGTTGTTGGGCGACTTTAAGTTCATCCTTCGATTCATGAAGCCGTCCCTATTGTATATTTTATTCACACTTTGCATTTCAAATATCGAGAAAAACTTCATCTAAAAGTTTAACTCACTTTTTTTTATTATTTTTCTTTACTTCCCTCACTCAACAAAATATATGCCGAGTCGTCTGTTTGCTTGATAAAAAAACTTGATATAACCGCTATAAAACAAAAACAAATGTGCAGAAAACGAAACGAGTTGTTTCGAAAACCAACATTTTAAAAACACTTCTTATAGCCTAATAATGATTTTTTAAAATCCGAAAACTGACGTTGGCTTTTGTCGATATGTTTTATGGAGAAGATTGAATGTCGTCGAAACGAGAGTAAAATGAAAATTAATGAAGCCTGTTAGTTGATTTCTGTTCCTACTGAAAAATATTATTTCGTTATGAGAATAAAATGATGAAAGTGTTGTAAGTCCATGACATTCGAATGTTGCTTGTTTCGTTTATATTTTCTCTTCTCTTTCACTTCATTCACTTCTCAAATATTTTGCTAGCCTCGTACGACGTGATCGAATGTTATGCAGTCGCTAGATTTTCAACAGCCCAAAAGGACGAGACTCTTACGAATGAGCTTTTGTACTCCTCGTATTCTGTGATCGAAATTGTACGTTTAACCATCGGGGAAACCTCTGGGTGTGTGAAAAGCATGTGCGTCTGCTACCCAGTCTGCTTCTTTTAACAACATCACTAATGCTATGTGTCAGTTGATACGTTAAATTTTTTCTTCTCTGTTTCAATTTCAAGCAATAGAAGAATGAAAAAAAAAACAAATGTTCAGCTGTTCAGTCAGTCTTACACTGCCAACAGTCAAATGGTGAATGCTTCCAAACGAATAAAAAGTTTTACAAATTATCACAATATCACCATACAAATTGAAATAATTTTGTTCCCGGTAACTGTAAAACTACTCATTTTTTAAAACAGAATCATTGAATCAACCAGGCGATCAAAAGAGAGAGCACAATTTTCTCTTTTTATTATTACGCTGTGCTTCGTGCTTTCCTTAATGTATTCTACATTTCGTATTGTCGTCGTCGTCGTCGATGTTTTTGTTGTTGTTGCTGTTTCTGTTCCGCTCTGACGTTTGTATGTAAATTCAAAGCAACGCTGTTCTGTTATGTCATGCGGGAAGAGTAAGTAGCAGTAGAAAGAACGATGAATACAAACAACAAAATCTTATACGCGATTTGAAAATACAAACTTTTCATTTCGTTCTTTATATTTTATTTCCTACATCGTATGTACGTCATAGCAGACATGAAGCAGACGATCGGATCGAAATACATCAAAAGTCGTTAACATACGTAAAGGCAAGAAATGTTTATTTTATTAATTTGTTCTTTTTCTTCTTGAATTCTACACCTGTAAAAAATATTATTAGTTGGATTATTCTTCCAGAATATCGATTCTACTCAACGCAACTCAATTATATGAGTATAATCAACCGTGTATTAATTCAAAGTATTCACAGTATAAGTCGATAAATAGCGGCCTTGTGGTAGGTGTGTTCACAGGTCTTTACAGCAATCGAGCATTTCTAAAGAGAAGACACAGCTATTCAATATTGTGTGATGGTGATTCATGTTGCTATTTAATGTTTCATACAGCGTGCTTTTTTATTACCGCCACACGTACTCATACGTAATGACACAAAAGCACTTTAAATCAGTATTGTAAATGAAACTAACTAAACTTCTAAAGCAACTTACTTATCTATATTAAACATTCTCGTAAGGTTGTCAAAGTCAAAGTGTTTAATAAATTTCATATTTAAATGTTCAACCACAAGAACGTACAAAAGACACGACACAAGACAAAAAAAAGTATTTTATAAGTGATAATCATGTATTTATTATGTCACTGAGCATTCTAAATGAAACACACATGAAAGTGATTGAACAGGAACTCAAAATATCCCAGCAATTCCTCTCACTGTAACACTTTCCACCGAAAGAAAAAAATATTATAATAATATAAAGTTCAGCCAAGTGTAGAACGAAACCATACGTGTGTAATACAAATAAGAATCATGTTTGTTTGAAGAGAAGAAAGAAAAGAAAAAAAATATTATTATTATTATCACAGTACTGAAAATACAACAATAATATTCTGCCAATAATACCAGTGTCGGCAAACGCGCCACTAAGAAATAAAATGTGTAATCTAATATACAACCATCACCATGCAACAACAACATCAACAACAAACGCACCTATAGAGTTCACGACACTCAAAAGCGCGACACGATGTACAGAAGAATGTTTTCATTTTATAGATTTACACATGTTATCAAAAGCGTATTTGAAAGTATCATCACCATCAGATGTTTAGATAGATGAAGGAAAAAAAGACGAATCATACGAGAGACTAAGTGAGCAAAAGAGAGAAGAAAAAAAAATTGTTTCTGTATGAAAGTTAAGTTCGAGATATGCTAAATGTAATCATCTCAAATCGCATATGACTACAACCAAGAAATTTTTCTTTTTCTGGGACTAAAACATCGTCTTCGTCAACAACGAATGATATTGTGTTGTCGATAGAAATGTTTTGTAAGAAACCACCACCATCAGCATTGAGAAATCGTCCCCACAAATACAGAACATTTTCCTTCGATTCACAACGTCTACGCATGCCGTCGTCCGTTCTGTGTCAAAGCCCTCGAAAAATGTGGGAAAAGCATAGCATAAATACATGGCTGACATAATATAGGACAATGCATAAATGGCAACATACTTTGCTATCAGGGCTACAAACACATGAGCATCACGCCGAAAAATATATTTTCCTTTCTTTCCATTCATGTTGTCTGCTATACAGCTACGAATGGTGAGAAATATCCTTGTGGGTGAGAGCGCGTTGTGTGAGTAAACGAAGCGAAGAAGGAAGGGATCGAAAGAATAAACGACAGACGCCCACCTCCTTCCTTCTCCGCCTCAAATAAAATAAATACATATTTTAAACAGTTTTCTTTTGTCGGAAACCCCCGAGATGATGTCTATACGTTTGAAGCATGAAAATTGTTACCAAAAAATTAACCATATGTGTGTAAGGAATCCAATCAAAGGAGAATGGCACGAGGCACAAATTCTTCAAAATATATTCAGTCAATAGGATCGCAGGATATTCGAGAGTTGTAAACATTTCCCTTTTTTTATATTCGATATGAAAAGGGGTTGGTTTTTGGTATGCTGCTGCGAAGAAAGGAAAAAAAAGGGGAAGTGTATGCATGCAACCGAATGAAGAATAAAAGGGACACACAAACGCTTTTTCAGTCAGTGTGTTAAGTGGGACAAAAGGAATATCGGGTATAACAGAGAAAATGCCATGGATGCAAACATCGGAATTTCCCATACAGATCATTAACCGTACAGCTCATAACATACTTGTGTGCTTTTTTTCTGACCTCGATTTTGACTGTAACATGTAGGAAGTTTATTCCTTTGTACACGTGAGTTTTATTGTATTATGAGAGTTTCAACTACTTACATGTTGCCTTTAACTAACATGTTATTTGTAGTGTGCTCAGGATGAAAACAACTTTTGTGTCTTTGAATATTTCTCTTTAATAAATGAAACTATTCAAAGATTTGATATTACTTTTACAGGAATAAGTGCTACTTACATGTCTTCTATTTACTTTTACAAAACAATTAAAGTTTTCAATATTTTTCACATCATGAAACTTCGTCCGTAATTATACATTTTCTGGGTGTTTGTCAGATACCTAGAACAACTTCTCTTGTGTTTTTCACTTTCGCGTTTTGCTGAAACACGATCCCAACACACCAACTTTTTAATAATATACATATGTATGATGGAAGTCACTAGGCTTTCATGAACGTCAGCATAACGTTGGCGAGAGCCGCCTCTGTAGAGGTGATTTTTATTTTTGTGTGTCTAAAAAGAATTTCTGAAATGAAAATTTCATCTAAACACATCTATAAACATCATTAATACGACGAGAGGGATGCGTTTTTTTTCTTTCCTTACTCCAAATACACATGAGCGTCGTTCAACTGTTTTCTCCTCGTTTCTTTACTTTCAATGAATGACAAAGGCACCGCTGTATTGAAGAATACTTACTATTCACAACTTACGAATCTACGGCAGCACATGCTAAAAGAGAACGCAATAAAGCGAGATTCGCAGAAATATTAAACATAAACATACATGAAAAGTTGGTAGCTTTAACATCTATCCCAAATGCAAACTACAACAACAGAAGGAAAACAATTCCCGAACAATGAAACGACGTCACAATTTACATGAAAAACTGGTGTGCGACGAGATGCCTGAGAGTGTGAAAAAACATGATTTCTGTGTTGTGCGGGAAAGAATATTCAACTGTAAGAAGAAAAAAAATACTTCCGCACAAATACTAAATTCACTTTATCATTCCGCCAAAAAGTTCTCTCTGTTCACATCACACGAAAGCAAAAAATAAAGAAGCGAGTTAGTTTCATGTTTTTGAAAATATTAAGTGAATACATGCTTCGCTTTATTTCTCATCACATATGAAGAGTGATGTGAATATGCAAAGAAATTTTGACTTCATTTATCAAGAGAAATATTTTAAAAATTATTCGTAATGGGCTTAATTTTAGTTTCGGTACGTAAAAAGTTGTAATAATTAAAACTAATAACGAGTAGGCAACGTGAAAAAACTTTCATACTTTATACATTTACATTCAACTTACTTTTAATTATTATTGAACCAAATTCTAATGATGAAAGTTAAATGTAAATTAAAAAGCATAAAAGTGTTTTCGCGGTCTCTTCTCGTTATTTGTCTTAAGTATGAGTAATGGGTTTAAAGCCTACAACAATGTCAACAATAAATCATTAGAAAGAGATTTAAAATTTTTATTTGAGAGATTATTGTTTGAAAGATGTTAAAATGTATTGCTTCAGAGATGTCGATTGTCAAAATGATTGACAAGTTGTCATTTTTTATTCATAATTTTATTTCACAAACGTTTCTTCATTAGAAATTCATTAAAGAAAATTAAAAATTTCAGTAGATTTAAACATGTATCCAATAACTTTAAGATCAAAAGAATGTGATGAATTAAGAACCCTGAAGATGTGTTTTGGGTATTTACATTTATAGTTGTTTAACTACAGACAAATTTAAATTTTTCTTTTATTGCTTTGTGACAAAACAAAACATGATGAAATAAGTTTTTATTAATATGTGTACGTAATTAAACATTTTATTCACAAAAGTTTTTTATTGTTCATTAAATGTTTGTTAAATTGTTTTCTTTGTTGTCAGTTGAGTTTACTTCACCGGCAATTCCATACCCGTTTGAATGATTCTTCTGAATATTTGGATCGTTCCATTTTTGGATTTTTCCATCAGCAAAGATCAGATAGAAAAGACCCGTCGCGATTAGTATTCCAAAAACCATCCAAAAGACGATTCTGTTAGAATGAAAATATTATGAGATTAATGAATGATTGATGGAATCAGTTTTACTAGTTCAAACCTCCACTCATAAATTGTACTCTGAAATAGAAAGAAAATTTGTTATCTCTTACGTAACATAACAGAGCATTGAGTTATGCTGATAACAAGGTCACACATCAAGATCAAATGAACTAGTTCTAATCTGACTCACATTTTTTGTCAGTAAACCAACAGCTAATGGCGCTATGATTCCCATGACTGAACCACAACTGTTTACAATCGAAATGATTGTTGGTGCGTAATTGGGACTTAAGTCCATGTTGTTAACTCGACTATTGTCTAAGCCAGCAAAGCCAGAAGCGAATGAGAAGAAAAGAATTGCAGTCAAATGATCACAGCCAGAATAAGAAGCCATAATGAAACAAACGGCAAGACCGACGATCCCTAAAGGTGAAAATTTGTTTAGAGAAATCTTTTCAAATCATTATCGAGCTATTCACCAGTTGTTGTAAAAATTTTCCTTGTATTCTTGACACTTAAATATTCTTTGTTTATGCAAAAATCACTCAAGAGTCCAAATCCCATAGCACTGAAAAAGTTCAGAACTTGAGGCAATGAACTAAAAAAGCCATTCTTCTCCACATCAAATCTCATAACATCCGAAAGGTATTTCGGCAAATCTGTTGTCATAACATAAAATGAAAAGTCAATTCCCGTTTGACTTATGATAATCGCCCACACAGGAATCGATGTTAAAATTTTCTTAAACGGTGTTGATGGAAGATTTGAATCTCTCTCAAGAACACCGATTTCCTTCCTTAAATAATTCTTTTCCTTTATTGAGATAAATCGATTCGATTCAGGGTCTTTTGAGCATATCAGCATCTGTCAAAATAATTTTATCATTGAACAATAATCAATTGAAAAGAATTTCTTCGCTTACGAATGCAGCACACCAAATGATGCCAATTATGCTATAAATGTAGAATGGCCAAGCCCAACCATTTAAATTCTGAAGTAAAATCCCCGAAAGGTATGTCGATAAAATTGACCCGAACTAGAAATTTGAAACTTTTTGAGCAAATATTTCATGTCAATGTCATTTTTTCTACTTGAATTCCACTCAACACAAAAACTCCAAGAGTTGTTCGTTCCCTTAAAGGAATCCAAGAAGCAAGAAGACCAAACACTGAAGCATAAATAAAACCTTGACAAAGTCCCATAACAACCCGATTGATGATTAAAAGATTTGAACCACCAAATGTAATGGCGAATGGAGTTAAGCATGTGAGAATGCTTGTTGATATAATTCCAGCAAGTAGAGTAATTTTCCCGCCAAATCTTTCTACCAACATCCCACCCGGTATGTGAGTGATGATGTATCCCCAATAAAATGATGACAAGATAACTCCTTGTAATGCTTCACTCCATTCATAAGTGCCTTGTAAGCTTTCATTATCATCATTGCCATCGACAGCAAATGTTTCATTGGTAATCGGACAAACGTCACCAGAAATTATCGATTCGTTTGTGTAAGTTTTCACAGCAATTTGTGTGATTGCGATGCTGAGTAGATTTCTCATCATATATTCACACACGAATCCAAGGAATGCCATGAAAGCGAGCAGAATTCTTTGAGGTAGATAGAAGTCTAAACACATAGAGGAAGTCTTAATTTATAACGTAAATTTCTATTTATAAATTTTCTATCATGTTGGATAACTCTCACCAGACATTTTTAATATCCTGGATTGCTTTGTCTTTTCGCAGAAAAATTATTTATTTTAATCTATCACTTCAATACACGCCACCAATTAAATAATCTTAATCGGTAAACGATAAGAATGATAGTCTCATACAGCCATTAATTTGATATTTAACCGATTCAAGCTACACCACGTGCTTCTAAATACATTTGACTGAGACAACAACGTTTTTTTATTTATTTTTTGGCACAACGTTGTCGACAGAAAATCAACTACTGACATACTGAATCACATTATTAAATTTCATTGATGTCTCTCAGAGTATTTTTCGTCTTTTCTAAGAGAAGAAAAAAAAAGTAAACAATATGACTTAAAATACTTGCAATTTAATATGGGACAGGGTGTTGATTAGTGTGCTGAAAAGTTAAATTTAAATGAATATTAGACATTTTGTGAGTATTATTTTCGTTTCTTATTTGTAAGTGTTCATCTAATCGTAAATTTTTGGATAGACGTGTAAATAACGAAGTTAGAATTATGAATGGAAATTATTTTCTTAACTTGTTATTTATGATTTATGATTTAATGATTTAATAATAATGCTAACAACATTTATTAATCTCATTTGGAAGTTCATAATGGCGAACATTACTTTTACTTTATATATTTCATTTTGCTGATTCATATTGAGTCAATGTAAATTATATCAATTTATATTATCGGTCTGCGTGCGATAAAAGTGAAAGTATTTGAAAACTTGTTGTTTCAATGTTTGCGTAGAATTTTTCAGCCATTTATTGCTTCGATTTTGTTGGTGAGTTTGTGATATACATGGAAGTAAATAGATAATAATTAAGGTAAATATTATTGGAATGGGAAAGGTTTTTTGCTTGAAGATGTTTTATGTTATCCTAAAAATCTTTTGGATATCTTCTACTCAAGATACATAAGAAAGTATTGCATAAGAACAACTCTGATAAGCTTTCATAGCTTTCCACATGCAAATATCATGAACACAACAATATCATATCTGAAGTAGCATGTATTTGATTTTTTTTTACTACCCAAAGTTTCATATCACACAGAGACTGGGAAACATGCTCGCATGTGTTTAGGGGGGTTTATGAGCAAAGCAAGAAAAATATATTATGAAACAGCGAAAAGTTCTTTTTTTCCATCCGTGTGTTGTGGAGAGAAGTATGGAATGTGTACACAGAAAAAAAACGCATCCCTCTCGTCGTATTAATGATGTTTATAGATGTGTTTAGATGAAATTTTCATTTCAGAAATTCTTTTTAGACACACAAAAATAAAAATCACCTCTACAGAGGCGGCTCTCGCCAACGTTATGCTGACGTTCATGAAAGCCTAGTGACTTCCATCATACATATGTATATTATTAAAAAGTTGGTGTGTTGGGATCGTGTTTCAGCAAAACGCGAAAGTGAAAAACACAAGAGAAGTTGTTCTAGGTATCTGACAAACACCCAGAAAATGTATAATTACTACGGACGATGTTTCATGATGTGAAAATGTAAGACGTATTGTTCCAAGACAATTCTAAGTAGGCTCGTTATGCTGTGCTTGAGTGTAACATAAAATTTCGAAAATCGTATTAAGTAAGTAAGAAAGAAAGAAAGAAATCATTCTCATTCTCTACGCTTGTAAGGCAAGTTGATTAAATTTTTTATTCTTTCTCTCTCACTTCTCCGCGTGTCTTCGGTTTTTCTTTTCTTCACATGTTCGTTTGTTGCCTTTGTCTAGAAATGTTTTTTTAAAAAAATTGTATATTTGTTTCACTATAATCGCATGTTGTAAGATACTATCGAGGAAATAAAATTGTTGTAAAATATATTAGTGAACTTAACACTATGAAATGCGGTTGGTAATAAATACAAACGTGTACCAATTTATTCTACGGATATCTTCCAACTCATTTGATGTTTTATTTATTTTAACGTCGAGACTGTGTAAAAGTTTTGATCGTAATTGAGTAGATAATCGTTTGATAATGTTGTTTGTTTGTTATCGATTTTAGACGGTGTGGCATCTTGTGAAATCGAAAAACTTTTTTTTAAATTTTTAATCAGTTTTCTCTGTTTAAATTAAAACTTTTATTCTTTATTCTTTATTTTCAACCTTAATTAAACTAATAACTTTATTTCTGATTATTTCTACTTGTTTCATCGTTGAAAGTTTCAACGACTGACGAAAACTTCGCCGTCGTTCCTGAGTGGAACGTAATGACTTTAGTCGTTAACACATCCTTTGATTTTTCCATTTTTTCATCTTTCTCGTCAGTTGCTTCGTTCTCAACTACATTTTCAATAGTTTTATTATCTGGCTCGTAACCTTCTGGAGTGTTCCAAGGTTGAACTTTAGCCGAAGCAAAGATGATGTAAATGATGTTGGTGAATATCAAGAAAGCACATGAAATGAAGAAGACTAATCGCCATTGAGATAATGTTCGATCGGGTGTCAACACTCCAACCACATAAGGCTAGAAAAAAAGGAAAATCTTGATTGGAAATTTAAATGAAAAGTTTCTAAACAAACCGCAGCTATTCCAGTCAAAGCCGAAATTCCATTTGTAATTCCCATGAGAGTTCCTGCATAATTAGGTGAAAGGTCCAAAGCATTGACCTTCATGCCTAGAAAATAAAAAAAGTTCTTGATTTATCATTCGAAAGTATCATTTATCACCTGAGTAATAAGCTCCCATGAAACCCATTGCAACAGTGAACAAAGTTACAGCCAAAATTCTATCGCAGCCAACAAATGAAGCAAAGACTAAAAATATTCCAGGAACTGTAAATGACAGCGTCGTGTAAAGCTTCCTTGAGTTTGTTATTCCAATGTACTCTTTGGCAATGCACCAGTCACTAATGACACCAAATATCATTGTTGAAATCCACATTGCAACGTATGGAAGGGACGAGTAGAAACCATTCTGCTTAACATTGAATTTAAGAACATCTGACATGTATTTAGGTAGATCAGTGACGACTGTGAAATATCCAAATCCATGTCCAATTTGTGTGATGACTCTAAATGTTAATAATTTTTTTATAAAATATGCAATTTGCTTCTCATATCATTCTCACAATGCTATCATTGGCACACTTGTCAAAATAGCCTTCCATGGTGTCTTGTTCAATCTTTTATCTCTTTCTAATTGTTTCATTTCACGTAGTAAGTAATTTTTTTCTTTATTGGTGATAAAAGGATGTGACTTTGGATCGCTGTAGCAAAGGAATTCCTAAGCAAAAAAATAAATCACATCAAGTGGAATGGAAAATATTTTTATAAAAACAACTTACAAAACAAATAAACCAAACAACCCCACAAATTCCAAAGAAGTAGAACGGAGATGACCAACCATCAAAATAATCAAGAAGCACTCCTGAAATCGAGTTTGCGGCAATATTTCCAATCTAAATTAACAAAGAGATAAGAAATCAGCAATTATCTGCTACTTAAGCTATGACACTAATTGAGAAATAAAATTTATAATCTTTTTCTTGCTTTGCTATAAAAAATTTGAAGTTTTTGTGAGTTTAATGTTTAAAAACTTACTTGTGCGCCACCATAAACTAAAGCACTGGCTTTGGATCGTTCTAATTAAAAGAAATAAAACATTAATTCATATTTCATCATGCAGTATGTTCAAGTACTTTGTACTTCAATCAAGTCGCACCTTTAATTGGAATCCAAGCAGCTAAAAGCGTATTAAGTGCTGGGAAGGTCGTTCCTTCACCGAAACCTTCCAAGACTCTCAATACAATCAATCCAGTTGCGCCACCTAAACAAAAAATTGATACTTTTATTTGTTACATAAAAGAAAAAATATTTTCTTACCCCAACCAACAACCCACGGCGTGATTAAAGTGAAAATTGCTGTGGATAAAATTCCCAGACTCAGAGTATATTTCCCACCATATTTCGCGGATAAGACACCGCCAGGAACATGATTTAAAGCCTAATTAATTATGAGCATTAAATATGAATTATGAATGAAAATTATTCTCACATATCCCCAGTAGAAAGCACCAAGAATGATTCCTTGAAGTTGTTCACTCCATTCGAAGCCCTCACGTGGTGGAATGTAAGTTTCTCCATCAGGTGATGGACAAGTATTGTCGTGAATCGTAGCATTATAACCTTCCTTGTAAGTCATTTCTGTTATGGCTATGTTCAAAATACTTCGCATCGTGTAAGCTTTAGTAAGGAAATTTGTTTTGAATATTTCAACAATTGCGTTATAAATTATTTACCATTAATGACAGCAAGGAAACCCATGAAAGTTAGAATAAGACGAGCTGGTACATAGCACAAACCTATGAAGAATTTCATAATATTTTTAATCTTTACTTTTGTTTTTCATCACTCACAAAGCCCAAAACGTTTTAAAATAGGATTTGTTGTTGTAACCATTTTTAATTTTTGTTCCCGTCCTTTGTACCCAAAAAATTATTTTTGCTCTTTAAATAATTTTAAAATAATTCACGACTTTTTCTTCTTCTCGTGCACGATTTACAAATTAAACTTTCAAAAGCAAAGGCTTTTGTCAGAAGAGTGAGTTTCAGCAAATGTTTGAGCTTTTTATAAAATAATTTGCCATCGCAATTGTTTTTTTTTCTTACACGTTGAATGAGATTATCATAAAGTTGTAAATTCTTATCAGTTGGTATTCCTTTTTCAGTGAGCCTGTCATAAATTCTGTTTTCTTTCTTGTTGTTCTTAAAGCTTATTAAAAATTACAAAAAAATTGATTTGTAACATTTTTTATGAAATGCACCTCAAGTGAATGAAGCTCAAGCACAGTTAATTCTTTTATTGTCTTTATACTTCATAAAGTGTCAATAAAACGATAAAAAGAGAAGTATAAGACTTTAAATTTACTTTGAATTATCAATTGGAAATCCACCACTCTAAATGAAATATGATTTATTATAAGTGAGTTTAAACCAAACTCATAACAATTCTTAGAAAGTTTTACTGGTTCCCTATTTTTGTGGCCTCATTCTGAATTCCATTTAAAAACATTAATTGTACCCACAATATTTTATTTTACCTTATTTGTTACATGTCAAAAAATTTTCATATTAAAGCAGTAAATCCACTTGACTCCACATCGTATAGATAAGAAACTTGACTTGAATTTGAAGTTACTTGACATCTTTTAACTTGCACAAAAGCTTCAAAAACTTTCAAGTTGAATTTAAAATTTAATATCATTCCAAACTTCAGGTGAATTAGTCACTTAAAAATAATAAGAAAAAACAAGAAGATTATATTTATTTACAAATGCTTTTATTAATTTTTTGAGGAATAAGAAATAAATATCTCATTTCATTAATCAAATTTCTTTTCACGGTATGTCACAGCAAAACATCATGCTTTAAATTGTATAACCCGCTAATATTATTTAAATGAGCTTTAAACTACACATTTATGTTATATAACAATGAAAGTCTTTATAAAATTGATTTGTATGCTTCTGAGAGCTCAATCTCAAGTTTAAATAAACTGCGTTTTTAAATAATTATTTTAAACTATCACGTTTGAGGTCTTCAATTTTTTCCTTTGGATTTTCAAAGTCATCATCAGAAGTTGAAGAACTGTCGTTTGATTTTCGAAGTGGTATTCCATCATTCCATGGCTGTATTTCAGCAGAAGCCCAAATGCAATAAACAACAGCTGTCACATTGAAAACAATAAATGCAATCCAAAATACAAGACGCCATTCAGTAAGAGTTTGACCTCCAGTTAGTAGTCCTACCAGATATGGTCTGAAAGTGAAAGAGAAAAGAAAGACATTGCAATAAATAACAAAATCGACGTATCTAAAAAAATTACCCAAGAATTCCAGTCAAAGCTCCAATGCCATTTGTCGTAGCCATAATCGATCCAGAATAATTTGGTGACAAATCCAAGGGATTTACTTTCATGCCTTTAAATGCAAAGTTAAATTTATGTCCAATAATTTATGTCAAATAATTTCAGGTCTTACCTGGATAAAAACCTCCCATGGTACCCATAGCAATTGTGAATAATATCACAACAGTTATTCTATTACATCCAGCGTAAGATGCTGCAACAATGAATACGGCAGGTCCAACAGAAGCTAAAGAAAAAATATTTTAATAAATTAATTAAATATTCTGAATATTCAATTATTCAACTCACCGACTGTCGTGAAAAATTTTCTTGCATTTGTAATTGAGATGATATTTCTGACAATCATCCAATCACTCCAGAAGCCCATTGCAATTGAAGCCACCCACATACTTGCATATGGAAGTGATGAATAAAATCCATTTTCTTTGATTGAGAATCTCAAAACGTCGCTCATATACTGCAAGAAAAGTTATTCAAATTTACAAGAACTTTCAACATTCATAAATAAATTAATGATAAAACCTTTGGTAAATCTGTTGCCATTATGTAGAATCCGAAATCGTGACCAATTTGAGCACAAACCAAAGCCATCATTGGGATACTTGTGAAAATTGCTTTCCATGGTGTCGGCGGCAAAGTTTTGTCTCTTTCCAAAACTCCCATTTCACGTTGTAAATATTCCTTTTCTGAATCTTTGATGAATGGATGAGAATTTGGATCATTGTAGCAGAGAAAAAGGAAGAAAAGGAACCAAAGTGCGCCTAAGAAACCGAAGAAGTAAAAGACAGACTCCCAGGTATCGAAATAATCTATCAAAAGTCCAGAAAGAATTGTTCCCACTATCGTTCCCACTTGTCCACCACCAAACACAAAAGATCCAAGCTTTGAACGTTCCTTGAGTGGAATCCAAGATGACAGTAACACTGACAGTGCTGGGAATGTTGTGCCTTCACCTAAACCTTCAAAGACTCTCAAAATGAAAAGTCCAGTGGCTCCACCTAGAAGTGGAAACTTTAAGTTGAAAGAAAAGAAAAAGTTTGAAATCAACAAACGAACCTATGTTGATAACCCAAGGCGTGATAACTGTAAAAATTGCTGTTGAAAGAATACCGAGACCAAGCACCCACTTTCCTCCAAACTTTTCAGCTAAAATCCCTCCAGGAATGTGAGTAATCACCTGCATTTATTAATGTTTGTGATAAAGTAGTTTTTAAAGTAAAAATTTTTAAACTTCTTACATATCCCCAGTAGAAAGCACCTAAATGAATGTTTGAGATTAAAATTTATGTATAGAAGAAAAATATTTTTGTTTATCTCACCCAAAATAAGACCTTGTTGGCTTTCTGACCATTGAAATGACCCACCGCCTACACTTTCTTCTGTTTCTCCACCTTCTGCTACGCAATATTCATTGTCGCCGGTATCATTACGTGGATATTTCACAACCATTTCTGTGATAGCAACATTAAGGCAAATTCTCATGGTGTAGGCATTCACAATGGCTAAAAAGCCCATGATTGATAAAACGACTCTTTGCGGGATGATAAAACCTTTATGACGTTTAAAGAAAGAATTTCAAGAACAATCAATAACAATTTATGTCAAGATGAGATTTGTCATAAACAACTTTAATTGCTTGTAGGGTGTAAATATAAAAGCAATTACATGAATCGAAAAGCCTTTGATAGCCGCTTAATATTATCGGATTTCAATTGAATTTGATAAGAAGAATACTACTTGAGTTCATCACCACGACTAGCAAACCTTTATGTTATCAACACGACGAATAAGCTATCTGAGCTTTTGTTATAAAAATATCAACTTATCATTTTATAAGATAATAAAAAATGAGTAGTAAGTCAATAAAGATAAAAGTGTTGTAAAGATTTTTTTACTTAAAACATTGACAAGGAAGTTAAAATTAACTTTGGATAGTTTTAATGTGAAGTAATAAATTCTCTTGACATTTTATCAAATCCAAAGCACGTGCAAAAGTTTGATAATCATCAACCTTAAAATTACAATCAATTTACAAGTATTTGTTGTTTGACTTTGATGAAAATGTCTAATAGTAAATGGTCAAGTTCAAGGCTATCAAACAAACCAAAATAAAATCATTTAATTATAATCTCTTAATCAGTTGTTGAAAGTTTTATGTCATGCTGTGTCTACTTTCAAAATATTTACTTGCATTGTAATATTAATTTACTCATGATTGCATAAGAATGTACTTTACAACTTTTCCATTTCTTGTGACACATTAAAGCAATTTCTTTAATTAACATCTCAAGTGAAAATTGATCATCATATAAAGTTTTATTTGCTGATTTTTTGTTTCTTTTTTGGCACCACATTAGTATGTTTGCTTCATGTTGTATTCCTGTCACAGTCAACGATATTTTACATTAACCTTTTTACGTAAGATGCGAAAAAAGTGATAAAATATTTTAATTTCTTAAAATTAACTAGGTAGCTTGCCAACTGATGAGACGAAGTGAATTTCGCTCATCAACTGATTCAATGTCGATGGCTTTATGCAAAAAAAAGAACAAGTTTGATCAATTATGACGGTCACTTGTCGGGAGCGAAGCTTGAAGGCTGCAACGATTCCATTGCAGCGAAATTGAAGTTTGTTTTGAATATCCATCACTAGATTAGCCACGAATATAAATGAAAGTGATTTTAACGAGGTAATAAGAGAGTAACAAGTACAGGAAATTCCACACTAAAAAATGACGAAGACATGTTCATTGTGTTCATTTTTTTGTCAATGCAAATTATAACCGTACACAAAAAAAAATTTACGCAATTTTTGTTACACGATCGTAAACATCGCCAAAAGTTTCTTTCTCGCGATATTAGAAACTTTTGAATTATTTTACTCCAAGTCAAACTCACATTTTGACACGGTTTTTCTCCACCCAACTAACATGGTTGATAATAGTAATTAAGTTTTAATTGCTGATTTGATATATTTTTTTTCTGCCAACTTCAGTAATCGTAATTCACTTCTTTGTGGCACAAAATTTGAATTTTAGATCAATCCGCTTGAGTGTCAATCAATAAATTTAATTTTGCAGCCTTCCACTGCTAAAAGCCAACTTTCGTTTAAACTTAAGTCGAGACAGGTGAAAACCAACTAAAATTGAATCACATCCAACAGCTTGAATTTATAGTTAAGCGAGCTGGAGGCAAAGGCAATGCATCAAAATTGTGTGTGTATGTGTATTTATGAGCTCAAACTTTCCATTGTGTTGCTTGTCCAATATAAAAAGTTATTAACAATCTTTTAGGTTCTCACTGATAACGCACAGAAGTATTGCTTCATGAGACATTTTTTTCCTTTTTGAAGCACTTAAAGTATGTAGGTAAGTGTTGCTTCTTTCATAAAAAAATAAACAAAAAAGATCTTTCATTGCACACTCAAGTTACAAGAACAGTCGACACCCCCAATAGAAGGACGCTTTTATTGAATTTATCCAGCACATAGTTATTTGTAACATCACTCATTAACCACTTGAACAATCAATTTGTATTTGTTATCAAACTCTAAAGCGATTATAAATCAATTTTCTACATACTACTATTTATGACTTGATTGAGTGATTAATTTATTACACCTTTTAATTTAATTTTAATTAGGCATTTTCATTCGATTTTAGTTTTCTTGATGATACTTGTAAGTAAAACTTTTAAAATCCCTCAAAACATAGTCAAGAAATGAAATATTGGAAACTATGCGAGGTCGTTTGTATGTTAAGATAATAAACAGAACGTGTTCTGTAGGTTGAAAAGTATTTTTTATTACTAAAATTTGCTCCAATTTTCAAGTAATTAACTATTATATTATGGTTTTTATTGAAATTTAAGTTGCATAAAGAACATTGTGTCAGGTTACAAAATCCGAATAAGCAGCTTCCGATACACAAACATTCATGTTTACATGCAATATTAACAAGCTTATCATAGAAGTTTTATCAGTTAGTAAATGTTTGAGAAGTAGCAGAGATTCTGTTATTTGTGTGAATGTCGTGAGAGAAAAATATATGAAATAAGAGTACATGCATTAGATATCAGAAAAATATTTCAATTTTTTTTAACTCACCAGTTGTCGACGGTTGTAGTAAAGGGGAACATTCTGTTAAAATTGCATCGTGATTCATTTCGCAGAAAACTGAAGAAGAGATTTTTTAGAATATTAGTTTCAAATTCAATAAAGTTAAAAACAATCAACAATCAGATATGATCAAGTTGAATATGGACAATAAATTGTGTCACAGAACAAAGAAGATTTAATTTCAATTTGAACTTTCTGGATCGAAAATATACTTTAAAGCAAATAAGCAATTATGTGACAATATCTACACTTCCATCAAAATGACACAATCAAAAAACTGAATCTAAAGTTTTTAAGCCGTGATTAGCCGTCACAAAAACGACAACAAAACCAAACACATGATCGAGTTTTTCTCGCAATGAAAATTTTTAACGAATGTTTGAAATTTAAAATTGATATGTAAAATTGATGTGTACTTTCAGAATAATCGTAAACAAAAAAAAAATAGATTACTGTACGCACTTGGTGAAAATTGTAAACAAAGCAGTAAAAAAAGTTGAAAATCTTTAAATTATACAGTACCATGATATAAAAGCGACTCGATAGCTATTACAATCTTCGACATGGATTATTTGTGTCAAGAATTAAACATTCCACGGAAGCAAATTATCGAAACGACAACAAAAAATCGATTTAAATGCATTGTCAATTTACATTTTCTAAAAACTCTTGTAAAGTCTAGAAAGTTGAGCAATTTTCCAATTTATCCACAATCAATTGATGAGTGGCCGCAACAAAAGGATTTAAGATCGAATTGGGAGCAAGTTTACATTCAGGTTTGTTCATAATTTTTTCTGTATTGAAATTCTTTAAATTTTTAATTTTTTTTTCAGGCTTACAAGAAATATAATCAAAAAGTTATTCCGTTACCAAAATATAAAAATGATATTAACGACAATGAAATTCCATTGTCATATTCTCAATTATTATATTACATACAACAAACAAACTTCAAAAATCTTTGGAAAACTTCTTATAAAAATTATTCTGAAGATTCCCAAAATGATTCGAAAGCTTCAAATATTTCATCAAAGATCTCAGATAATGTATCATGCAATTTAGTTCCCTACGACCTTGTGATGAGAGAAGTAATCATTCGAATGTATGGATGTCAAGTGATTCACTTTAAATTGGATAAATTGCGATCAGATTCGTATTCAGAGGAGAGTGGAAGTTCACAATTTGACCTAGAAACGCTAAATGTCAATCATTATCCGTTCATAGGTGCTGTGGAATCAAATACTCATTACTATTTATTCCACAATCCACTCATCGAAAATTCTCTGCTTGATTGCATAACTTACTCGCAAGCAATTCTGAACAAAAGTCACAACAAACCGATGTTCATCGTCTACCAGTTACTAAACCTTCTCAAAACTATTCATGAACGTGGACTTTTACTTGGTGACATTCATACAAGTGACATTTATTTAACTGAAAATTTGCTGCTTCATGTCATGCCTCGTTTGGAATCAAATTTAATAACATACGAATGTCAAGATGGAGAAGCGAACGATGAATTAAACACAAATGCAACAATGTCTTTGATACAAAATCCTCGATATTCACTTAAAGATTATTGTCAATTATGGTGCACCGGACAATTATCGAATTTTGATTATTTAACAATTCTCAACAATTTTGCTGGTCGTCGTATTGATTCTGCTGATTATCATCACATTGTTCCTTGGGTTATTGATTTCTCATCGAAAAATGGCAACTGGCGTGATTTAACAAAAACAAAATATCGCCTGACGAAAGGCGACGCTCAACTTGACATCACATACCAACATAATAAGCACGGAAGTGACACAACAACGCCACATCATGTCTCTGATGTTTTATCGGAAATCACTTTCTACGTTTACATGGCGAGGAAATCTCCAAAATCTGTTTTATGTCGTCATGTTCGTGCAAAGTTTGTTGCAGCTGAATATCCAGCAAGTATTAAAAGACTTCAGGAATGGACACCTGATGGTGAGTTAAAATTCTTTTTTATTCTACTTTATTCAACTTTTCATTCATTTAGAATGCATTCCCGAGTTCTTCAACGATCCATCTGTGTTCAAATCCATTCACGAAGATCTCGCTGATCTTGAAGTTCCCAACTGGTCGACATGCCCTGAAGATTTCATTGCAAAGCATCGTGAAGCTCTTGAATCACAATACGTGTCGGAAAATCTTCATCATTGGATCGATTTAACATTTGGCTATAAGCTGAGTGGAAAAGCAGCTGTGAAAGCTAAAAATGTCGTTTTATCTTTAGTTGATGAACATCAAAAGCTTTGTCAGCGTGGAGTCGTTCAGTTGTTTACCTCGCATCATCCAATGAAACAATTTAAGAATCCTTGGTTCATGAAAATTCCACCACGCATCAACAGCTCAGAAATTCGAAAGCGTTTAACAAGAAGTTCAGAAGATCTTTCGCTTGAAAATTATTATTCAAATGAAATTTCATCAACACCACCATTAAGAACACCAAACACATCTTCAAGAATTCCACATCAAAGTGAATCGATTGAACGTTCACCGAGTTATCATGTAAGTGTCCCAAGAATGTCACAAAACTTAATTACACTCCCACCAAACTACAATCCTTTGTATCAATTGAAAGCTGTCGAAAATATGGGAAATTTCATTTCGAAAACTTTTTATCAAAAGCCAACAACAGCAAAAGATCAGAGAAAAGAAAGAAAGTCGTTGGATTATCCACTGACAGCATCATTTCAAAGTTATCTTGCACAGAACAATGAACGTGATGCTGAGAATGCTTTCACCAACATGATGTTTCTTGAGACGTACGAGGCATCAATTAAAGACAGCAAAATGTATCAAAATCTTAAGCAACGACGTCAACAAGCTTTAAATTCAAAGAAGCACTTCAAACAAATCATTCAAGAGTCGAAATTACGCGATCTTAAAGTCATCGGATGCATCATTATGGAAATTTTCATGAACAAAAAACTTCGTTCGCTTTCACATCTTGAAGAAAGTTTCGATGAACGATTCGAAGCATGTCAAAAGCTTTTGCTTAATGATGTAAATTTACTACCAAATTGTTTAAATTATGCTGTGAAGCTTCTTTTCGGTATGAAAACCGACGACAACACACAAATTACTGATCTTGGATTACCAAATCCAAATGCGCAACAACTTCTTCAACCAATTCTTGCAAATATTCTCATTCCGTTTCCCAATCATTACTTTAAAATTTATGCTGCTGTAAAGTCGATAAATCAATTTGATTCAGCATCGAGAATGTTAAATCTTTTCTCGTTTTATGATTGCGATGGAAAAAATTGTGAGAAGTTTGAGGAACAAGATAAAGAGCGCGTGGGTGTACAAAGGAAAATTGCTGAATGTAAATTGAAAGCTTTTGCAGCGTTGACAGAAGGACTTTTAGAGCCGTCAGGCTTTGAACAGTTTGATTCAGTTGAGATTCTCCTTCCTTTCATCATTGACATGTTCCGATGTGAAGAGACGGGAATTCTCGCTGCTTGGTATTTGTTTGACAACATTTCAGCTGCAATTGGCGTTGACAAAACGAGGAAATTTCTTTTAGCGCCAATTCTTGGACTTTACGATGTTCACAATGATGAACGAGTCAACTTTTTAAATTCGAACTTTGAAACATCTGTTCGTATCACTGCAAGTTCATTTCGAAGTAAAAAAGCTGTCAAACTTTATCATCACAGCTTTCTTCTTAAACTCATCATTCGATTTGGCTTGAAATGTTTCTTAGAAAACTTCATTTCGATTCTTATTGAAGCAGCGGGTGGATCGAAGGATCCTGAATTTGAAATTCCATTTCATCTTCATGACTCAATAACAGCAACAACAGCTGGAAGTGATAATCAAATGTCATCAAAAGATTTTAATTACAGTTGTGATGAAGATTCGCCGACATTAGCATCAAATCATGATGATGATGACGATGACGATGATGGCGATAAAACAATGTCAGCTAAACTAATCGTTGATGAAATGTTTGAATTTGATAATGATGAAGTGACGGAAAGTGCAATCGCAAAGATTATCGATCAATTTGATATGACATCTGAGACAAGTTCAATCGATCTAAAATTAAATCATTCGGAAGCTGATGAAGCACATGAAGAAGTTGGATTCACGTTGGGTGATGATGATAAACTTAAAGATCAAATATCGCCAACAATTCCAATTCCGTCGAGTGTTTATAAACGTGGAATTACCGTCGCTTCAATTGGTTGTGAGATTGGAAGTCGAAAGAGTAACGATTCGTTTGATTTATTATCACGAACACCAATGGAACGTGACGATTCCACGAAAAGTATTAAAGTTAACGAACCTTTGAAAATTGAAGACAAGAAATCAAAATCAAAACCCTCACGTTCAACAAGAATTTCTGAAATGAGTGCTGAAAGTTTACTGTGGTTGGCACATCGTCTTGGACCGATTTTAACAGCTCGTTACATCACCAGAAATCTTCTGAAAATGTTGACACTTTGTTACGTCTCACAAGAGAATCTTCTGCCAACGACAACGATCTCAAATGTAGGCGAAGGTTTAGTCAACTTCACAGTCGCAGACGGTCATGTCATTGGCGATGAAAATGCACAAAAAGTTCTCGATTGTCTCACATCAATTTCAGCATTGTTCGGTGAACATTTCATCCTTCATCAATATTTCCCGCATGTTTGTGAATTGATTGGATTGTGTAAGAAGAAAGTGACGTTGACATTAGAAGGTGGATTGATAAGTTCAATTCAATTAATTAAATACATCATTCCGTGTTTAAGTGATGCAACACTCATGGAACAACTTCAAGATGTTATTTTAAGGAATATTGTAAAGCCAACAATTCGACTTCTCAATTCAACACATTTTGTGATGCCGAGTGGATTTTTATCACGTGGAATTCTCGCAAGAAAACTTATTGATCTGCTTTACATTCTCACAATTCGAATTGGAACGGAAATCACAAAAGAACATCTTTGTGTGCCACATTTGCAAAGATTCTTCTTGATTTTTGATAAAGCGTATGGAATTGTTGATCACGATGATGATTCGAATGCTGAAGATGTGAGGGAAAAAGGTTTGGATGAGATTAAAGAATCTTTCACGCCTTCACTAGCACATTCAGCTTATTTGTCATTTGCAAAGCAATTGGGTGTGAATGTGATGAAAGAAACAGTTGTAAACCTGGAACTCATTCTAAATCTTTCAAATCAACATGAAGAATCGCTCAAAAATGAAACTGAATCGATTAAAATTCAAGAACGTCCATCAAAACTCACCAATGTTGATCAAGTTGATTCACCACATAGCTTTGGAACAAACGTTTCAATTGTTGGCAATCGTTTAGATTTTCCCATCAACGATGCATCAGAAAGTGATCAAATGAAGAATTTAATTGAACTTGTCGCTTATAAAATGCAAAATATTTCATCACATCGTCAGTTAAAAGGAAATTGGTTGGCATATTGGACAAATGAAATTGGACGGTCAGAGAAAGATCAAAGCTTCAATTTGAAACAAATTCGATTGCAAACATTTTCTGGTCACACAAATTCAATTCGTGGAATTTTGTGTCTCGATAATGAAAATTCCTTCATGTCAGCATCGAAAGATCGAACTGTAAAGTTGTGGTCGTTAAGAAATGAAGGTGATGGCTCGAAAATATCGTCATGTCAATTCACATACACGGGACATAAGAAATCGGTTCATTCGTTAGCATTTCTTGAGTCGATGAGACTTTCAGTATCGTGCGATGGTGGAATTCATCTTTGGGATCCTTTTGTCGGTGCACAAATAAATCAAATTGAGGGATTACGTTACACACCAGTAAGCATTGTTCGAACATACCCAACACCAAGCAGTTTGATTCTTGCTGGAACTGCTGACACGACAGTTAAAGTAATCGATAGTCGTGTCTGTGAATATGTTCTCGAATGGAAACTTACGACAACACCGTCTGGTTCGGTTCGATGTTTAACAGTCGCGCCATCAGGAAAGTGGGTGGCAATTGGATTACCAGCTGGTCAAATAACACTCATTGATGGACGAACTGGAATGATTTTGTCGACATGGAAAGCCAGTGATGGTGAACTTCTTCAAATGCAAGCGCCAAATGACAATGAAATCATCGCATCAAGTTTAGATAATTCTGTTAGTGCTTGGAATGTTCATACTGAAACATTGCTGTACACTTTGAAGTAAGTTTTTAATTTGGGTTTAGAATTGAGGGGAAATTTTGAATTTCTTCGTAGTTTCGAAGGGTTTTTTTTCCAAAAATTCGAGGGGATCATTTCAAAAAAATCGTTATTTTGTTTTCTGATTTTTCAAGATTTAAATTGTTTTTAATTTATTTACTTAGAACTCCCGCTGAACCTGTTCATTGTTTGAGAATCTTTGGTGATGAATTAATTGTTGGAACGCCAGCTAATCGAATTGGAGCCTACAATCTCACACAACATGACCATCCTTATAGTTACACAAAATTGCGATCTGAAGTGTTCAACAAAGGCGTCTTGACAACTTTCTCTCTTCTTCCACTTAATCGGCTTCTTTTAGCTGGTAATGACAGTGGAAATATTACTTTATTGTGTTAAATGAATCTCAATTGAAAAAGCTATGACATTTAAAACTATTGTATTAGATTTAGATGAATGAAAAGTTCTCAACCAAAAATTATTACATTTTGTAATGGACAGAAATATTCCAGTTTTATTGTTTTTAATATAAACTTAATCAACATATATTTATACATAAACACATATACATAATGAAAAAATAAATAAATGTTTGAAAACGAACAAATAAAAAATAAAATACAATGTCGAAAAATATTTTGAATTCGAAGCTCCGATTTACGTTTTCAACAACAGATACAAAGCTAGCAATCTCGTTTTGCCTCAAAATTTAACCGATATTATACTGTGTTGAGCCGGCGCTCATGAAGCTTAACATGGTGAATCGACACAAAAGAGAAGCAAATGAGAAAACCTTGAGCTCATTTCGAATCAACAACATTGAACTTGAATTTACATACTTACTGCGTTTATGCCTTCTAAAAGAATCGTTCAACATTAGCGTCGTGCTGAAGCGATAACTTTGCTTGCAAATCACCCTCAAAGCTTTGACGACACTTCACTGGTGACCATGTAGTGGAGGATCTCTGCACCTTGGAAATATTATGTCATTGAGTTGAAGTTACTAGGAGAACATGAAACGTGAGAGTGCGCAACGCGATGATGAAAAGTTTCTTTCGTTTACTGCGCGGGAAATAAAGTTGTGTTGGTTATTCATTTGATTTTACATCACAATACTTTCGTATAATGCTGAAAGGTAAAAAGACGGCTAGACAGACGTTCGTCGTATAAGCATTAAACAGACTTTCCATTTGCATTGCTCACAATGCCGTCTGTCGAGGCCAAAGGTTCAGAATCGAATCTTCACCCTCCATCCGAATCAATAGAACATCCCCCAAAATTAACTCAACTATTTTTATTAAAATCTTCTTTATAACTTCTAATTAATTAGTTGTTAAAGAAAAATTTTAATCTAAAATTGTCACATTCGGACCGGATGTAAATATTCTTGGATTTCTTCAGCCGATAGTTAGTCCCTCGATATCCTCCTGTTCACAAGTGATCATAAAATACTGAGACATAACATCGACGACCGAAAATAAATAAAAAAAAACTGCAAAAAATAGCGCGCCGGGTGCAACAACAACAAACATACGCAAAAGACTTAATGATTGCCAAAAATAAATATGTGTAAACACAAACCCGATATCTCGCCGTTGTTTGTAGTTTTAAGTTTCTCGTTCAGCATGATGTGAAGATATTTCATATACGAATATATTTAATTTTTTTATTTTGTGTTCACAATAGCGATGTATGAGTTTCTAATTAGGTAATATTTTTAAGAATTTTCATATTGAACACTTTCCCTCCATTTTCAAAAGAAATCTTTCATTGTTTCTTGTTAAATTCAATTTTTTTGTTTTGTTCAGTAAACAGAATGAATGAATGAATGTTTCACTCGATGACCAACCATATTCACTCTTAAATTCAATCCCAAAAGAAAAGAAAAGCGGATCAATTTTGAAATAAGTTTTTTTAGTGAGTAAGAAAGGAAGTTTGTCTCATTTTCTATCTCCTTGAGACGAAATATCGTTCAATAGCAGTTTGTGGTTTCATTTCGTTTCAGATATTTTATTCTGCTCTCCTTTCCGAACATACATCTGTCTTGTTCTACGATAAACAAGGGAAGAACAAACTAAAAAAGTGTGAAAACAGTCGTTTTATTTTATTTATGTCTCGATTATCCATTTGCTGCTCTCAGGGAAAGAAGAATTAAAGTGTGTGTATTGAAAACTGAATTTTTAGATTTGGAATGAAATGGAAAAGAATTGAAAGCTTTGCTGGAAGAATAGCCTGGAACAATTCAAAAGACGACAACAATCTTCCATGAGAAGAAGGAATCGACTAGATTCGAACAAGAATAAATGAAAAAATGTTTGCTTTGCTTCGCTTTGATAAAAGCAGTGATGTGAGGGAAAGCGAGAATGTTTCATACTCGTATGTCCATCCTATTCCACTGTTCAGCATGCGAAGGCAATATTTCGTGTTTGTGTATCTTTAAAATGGAAATCTTCATAAAATGAGAGAGCAAAACCAACAAATCTAATAGGAAATCATGAGGTCGTTGGGTTAATGTATCTTGAATCTGAAAGATAAAATATAAAAATGGATGTGAAAATGAACACGAAAACGCAACAAAAGAAGACCGCGTTAGTTTTACTTTGCAGCTCATTTCTGGTTCTTTTCCATTCGTTTTCTGTTTCATTCTCAACAAAATAAAATAAAAAAGGGAAGGAATGAAATAATTTAAAAAAAAAGTTTCTTGTCTTCACTCTACACTTTCATTGAAGACTGTTAAAAATTTATGTTTCCACATTTTCTACCCATTGGAAAAAAAATACAAATTTTACGCAGACTTTCCTGCAAACCGTTATGAGAAATTATTTTAAAAAAAAAAACTTTCGTGCATTAATATGACAAGTTCAAAAAAATTGTTGTGCTTGTTTCATGCCAGCCTGGTGTTCGTGGTGTAGAAAAAGTCGCTACGGAACCGAAACACAAATTACACAAAGAGTGTTTGGAACAAATTGGAAGGTAAGATTGCTTACTATTGGATGGAAAGCGTAGCCTCCCAAACCGTTGTCTAAGCTGATCGCCCTGTTGTTCGTAGTCATTCTCTTTGAATTTTCTGCAATCTCATGCATTATAGTTTTCCTTTTATCATCTGATGATGATGGACAACAGGTGATATTTTATATTTTCTAACAGGAATTCAGTAAAAATCTGCTTTTTTATTTAGATTCAATAAATATTTATTTGATTCACGCTTTTATTAAATACACAACAAGTTTAGTTTAATTTATTTATGAAAATATAAAATCCCAAGTATCTCGCCATCGAAGATTCATCACATCATCAGTAGTTAGCCTTGTTCGTCCATAACTAACAATCAGGAAGGTTCGGAACACATGGAAGACGTAGATAAGCCATGAACAGACTAAAACTTTGTACGTAAAAATTATGAGATTCTGATTGCTTCGTCTTAGAATATCGTGAATGTGCTCGATGAGAAAGCATAGCAAATAGATCTTGTAAATGAGAGCTGGCAAGTAATTGTGAAGGAAAAGTGTACGTTCGACGAAGAAGTACGGCAAGAAGTTAATCAAATAACCGAGCAAAAATGTGAACCCGGCATCTTGAAATTTTCTCCATTCCTGGTCGTTCAAATCAATGAATTGACGACGACGTCGTAGCAAGTAGAAAACCAAGAAAGCTACGTAGAATAAGAGACTGAATGTTGTGGAATACCAAAGGGCAATGTTGCCAAGCAAATGAATTTGAGCCTAGAAATAAAGAAATTCAAATTACTTGACCTTTCTAAAGCATTTCACCAATTTCATTCGTTTCCACTTACGTTTGTGTCCTTTTGATACCAATAAGCAATTCCTTTTGATAGAAAAGGCCATTCAAGTGGCTCCGATGAATACATATGATTCTGAACTGTATCACTTTGCCAAAACATTTTTGATTGAAGTTCACGAAACTTTTGCCAGAATGACAAATCAGTTCGTTCCATTGGAATCATTTCAGATTTCAACAATTGTCGTTCACGTTCTTTTTGATCCGATGCTGTTTAAATTTAAATAAATATTTAAATCAATTCATACAATTAAAATGGAAAAAGAAATTCTTACATTTCGTATAGCGATGCTCTTCAACATTCCACACACTATCTGGATGGTTAAGATTCTTATCAGCAGCAATTTCATGTTGATTGTAACCCCATTGTGGCAACTGCCTGCCAGTGAAACGAAGGGCTGTCTGTGTCGTAACATGAACAAGTCGTACTTGAGACTTGATAGCATGCCAGTGAATCCCTTCTTCTTCTTTGTTAAGGATTTCTACACGCCACAAAAGTTGTCCTGGCATTGAAATATTGTAGTCAATGTAACATGATACTTCTTGGGATTGCGGTGAGACTGGGGCAGCCACATCGTGAGAGTTCAATGCACGACTTGTCAGTCCATGAACCAATTGTATCTCGTCACCGTCTTTAATCATGTCAAGTTCATCACCAATCGAGAAGTCAACTTTTGATGGACGTTTTACAATCCACCAATTGTTGACATCTTTGAAACTGTAACATGTCACTTGTTGTTGATGTGAAGAGCCTCGTTTATCTTCGTACTTAACAGGATAAACTTGAGCATGAGAATGAAGCCAACAAGGTCTTCCATTTGTGTGTCGAAGAGTGATTTGTGATCCGTGAACAACTTTCAGAGGTTGTCCGTGTGTTATGGAAGCTAATCCACCTTCAAGTGAAGCTTGAAATGCACTCGTCATGACACTGTCATGTGGACCAGCTTTGTATAACATATTCAAATGAATATGAAAGATTCCTAAGTAAATGGCAGTGGGAATGACGACGAGAAGAATTCCTTTGGTGATTATCCTCATCGCAATCGTAAGATCCGAGAATGTTTTATCTCGAAGCTCCAGCCAAATGTGTCGGGCAACAAGAATTCCACCCAAAACATATGAATAAAATCCGACATATTTTACACTGATGGAAAATGAGTAGAAAACACCAGCAAGTAATCCATTCAGACACCAATTAATGCTAAAATATTTACTATCTAAAAATCTCATTAAAAATAGAAGTGCTGAGGTAGAGAAGAGTATTAACATTGGTTCCATGAGTATAAATCTGGATTGTGTCAGCAAGGCGTTGTCTACAAGAATGAACGATGTAAAATTATTATCTGAATAAATAAAAAGAATTTAATCTCATTACCAAACACAATCAAAAGTCCACCCAATGTAGCTACCCATCTGTTTATTTTTAGTTGCAGAAGCAAATTGTAGCTGACGGGTACAAGTAAACTGCCAAAGAGAGCTGGAATGAATCTTAGCCAAAAGATTGGGACATTCTGAAAAAAGGAAGAAAATTTGTTATGGAAATTTGGCTTACAAATGCAATTTTAAATGGAAATTTTCATCAGACAGTTTCAAAATATTTTCTTATCCCTGCGACCTTTTTAAAATTTATAAAAATTTCTGCTGTTTCGGTAATGACGAAGTTTGATGTAGAATATTCATGAATTTACTTTTACGAGATATTACAAAGCTTAATGCGATAAACAGTTCGTTAAGTTGGATATCTAAAATTCATTTAAAATGTCATTAATGTTTAAAATTTTTTTTGATACTTCATGGATCATTTAGAAAGTTTTTGTTACAATTTTATTGCGTATGTCATGTACATTTTCAATTATTTGGGGAATTTCATTTGTTCTTGAACGATGTTGCTTCCTTTGGCTTTGTTAATTTTCTGCTACGTTCACTCAACTTTGAGTTGTGTAAGAAATTCAAGCAATAATTGATTTCTAAATCACAGAAAATTCTTTTTTCAGATATCATACGAGATCGAAAATGAGAAAAATTGTGGAAATAAAAATCAAATTATTCAGTTTGTTAATCGATCTTTCGATTTTAATGAGAAATGCGAATTTTCATCTCGTTCTTGTACGCAATTGAAACCTTACAAGACAGCAGTTGTAAGTAGAAATTTAATTTAATTTCTTTGATTTACTTTTTAATTTGTTTCAGTTGGAAATTGAAATTTTTGTTGAACAACTGCGAGTATTAAATATGAAGCAAGACCTTTGCAGCAAGAAACCAATTCCCGATCATATGCGTGCATGTGCAGCTTTATGGGGAATTCCACTTAAATGTCCAATCAATCAAAATGAAATCTTTTGTTACAAAGGCAAAAAATCAAAATTTACCAACTTGAGAGTTTTAAAATTTCTTGCTCAATATAGCTCATTTAAAGTTTTAACTAAAATATCTCATGACACTGGCGACTCATGTTTGGAAATGATGGTAAAAATGAAAACTTAAATTGTTAGATTATTAATAAGTTGAAAGTTTGGTAGAGGATGGAAATAAAGTTAACATCTGAAATGGCAGAATTTATTTTGATTTAGTTGATGTGGCCATGAATGATTATCAAATTTTTCTTCTTGTTTCAAACATAATTTCCCCATTGATAATTAGTGAAATAATTACCACTAAATTTGACTAAATATAGCTAATTAACCCAATCATTTATAACTCTCATGGAACAGTTTAAAAGTTATTAACTGAGCCAGTTGACTGAAAATGTTTCTTCAATCAAGTTTGATATTTTTTTGCTTGTTTCACAGTGCTTTGAGTACTTGTGTAATGGAATGAAATTTTTGATAATTAATGACATTTTTTAAAGTTTTAATTTTACGAACTTAGGTTGTAAGTGAAATGTTGAGTGTAAGAAATTGTGGCGACGAGAATCAGATCATCAAACCATTCAACAGGAGTCTTGATGCCTTAAAACTACTGAATAATTCTTGCAACCTCATTTCCAGTTCATGTTCGAAAGTCAAGCCTTACACATCAGCAAAAGTAAGTCACAATTTGACAGAATGCTTTAAATAAATTCTTAAATATCTTTTCAGATGGAGATAAGCGGATATGCTCAAAAGATTCGTGTCTATCAAAATTCTTATGACTTATGCAACACTCAAAATAAAATACCGCAATTTGTTGTTATGAATTCTTACATGTTGGGCATTCCACTGACATGTTCTTATGATAAAGATGAAACATTTTGCTATAAAGATGAAAAAGTACCATTGCCCGATGAGAGAATGCTTGATTTCTTGTTAAGTTATCGCAAGAAAAAAATTATAACGAAAATTGCTCACGATACTGGCAGCACATGCATTGAAGTAACTTTTAAATAAACTGAATAACAATTCAGAATTAAAGTTGCAAATATTTTCAATAAATCTTTTGAAATATCTTAAAAATTTGTTCATATAATAATTTGAAGAAAATCTTGAAATCTTTCTTGGAATGTTTTCAATCAAATGAAAAGAATTTTGAATAATTTTCCAATATAAATTTAAATTCTATTGAAGAATTTTCTTGTGCACATCAACATTTAACTTACTTCTGAGTATTCACTTCCTATTTTACTGAACGTGTTATTGCCATTATAACCAGCAAAATAAGCTGCTGAGGCAATAAGCTGCTTTCCTAATGGCGGATGCTTTTCAAAAAAGAAAACATTTCTCATGTATAATGAGACGTATTTTCCATAATGTAGCTCATCAAACCTAAAATAGAAAAAATTCTTTCATTAATTTTTCCTTCCTTTTGACTGAAAAAAATTTCTATGAATATTTAATAAGCTTACACAACATTCCTAGGCTCAGAGAGCTTGAAAAATCTAGTGATGATAGCCAATGTAAACAAGACAACCGACATTGGGTCAAATTCAAGTCTTATTCTGAAGCTTTTATCATTTCGTTCTTCATGAATTTGTGGCTTCGTTGTTGATTCAATTTGTTGCTGATTTTCTACTTTTCCTTTGCTCTCATTTTGTGGTTTAACTTCAGACTTTTCTGAAGACTTGAGAACATTGTTCTGAGTCAATGCTTCTTTCTTCTTTCGATTTCTAAGAGAGTTTTCACAATTTTCCTGACTTTTAATTTCAGTTCCCATTACTTTTCAGTCAGAACTTTGAATAACACAAACTGCTGAAAAGTGACTAACTTTGGAATGAGAAGAAATTGTTAACGGTATAAGAGAGACAGAGAAAAGCGTGTTAAACATTCAACAATACCATTGAAGACTTCAAACTGGTTTTCTTTTATTCTTTTACCTGTTGAATGTTTTCATATTAATGCAAGTTGAATGGATGATGATCGAGGTGTACGTAACGTACACAACATCATTCAATTTATATATAAAGCTTAAAAGCATTAATCCTTGTGTTGGTATTCGATCACAAACTATCAAAGTATTCGACTTAACACAATCAACAAACAGGTTTTTGCACCTCTTTCTATTTACTTTACCAACTCAGTTGGTTTTTGGAAAGCGAAGCAGTTAAGTCGTGACTTTTGAATGAGAATTTCGCGATCATAAATTGCTGAAAATTTCCCCACATTGTGTCAGACATTTAAGAAAAAAGAAGAAAAGGAAAATAAAAAAAGTAAATTCGTGTCTCAAATAAAATATCAATTGAAATTCGGACAAATCGCGTTGTTGATTAAAGCTATGTGAAGTATGTTGTTTGAAAATTAGCATTCCAATCGTATCGTGAGAGGGAAAATGAAATTTTTTAACTTCTTTTCGATTTCTTTACGATTTCAATTGGAAATTTTTTAAGAAGTGGAATGTGGTACCCGATTTGAGTGAAACTTTTTTCATATATTTTGATCGTCGATGAAGAGAAGGAAAATAAACTTTTTCACACTTGAAATTAAGTTATTGCTTCTAAACGTGCGCGTGAGAGTAGATCGAGCTCTATTCAAATGAAACAGAGATGAAAGAACGATGAGGCAATCGATTTAATTAGTTTTAAAGTTTTACAAAATTTGTTGAAGTTTTTCTTTCATTATTACAAACGATGGGAATGAGATTTGAGAAGTGGCTTAACTGAGAGAATTCCGTTGTTAATCTGAAATATTTACAGTCGAGTAAAGTGTGACGAAAGCGACTTTTTTCTTCTCTCGGATTAATCTGTGATGTTACAGCAAAGTGTTAATGGTTTTCAAGTGAAGAACTGAAGCATGAAGACGAATTGCATTTTGCATGAGTTTTTTTTTGCTTTTTTTTGTTTTGAAGACATTGCAAAGATTGTGCAAGAAACATTTCAAGTGCGGGAAAGTTTGTTAAGATGTTATAAAGCTTAAAAGTACAGAAATGAACAAAGATTGAGTTGACGTTTCATCGCCTACCTTTAACAGAGAGGAATTGCAAATTAATAGCTTTCAGCTTTATTTAGTCAAAAGTTGTTGTGTAGATTTTCGCCCTCGCACTCACAAATAGCTAACAATTACTTTTAATTTCTTGTTTCCCGTGAAATCTTTCTCATCACACAAATTTTTTGCTTCTAACTCCAATCGTCTGATCGACAATTTCATCGAGAACCTTGAGTACCTAACAAAATCTGAGTTTAAATCTCGTTTTTACATTCGATTGTGTTAGTCAACGTGGTGAATTTTGCATTGTAATTGACGACAAAAAAATATTTTTGTTAGCATTTTAAATCCATTTACAAAATCACGTAGAAAAAAAAGCTGTTTACCGTAAACTCGTTGAACGACTCACAAAGACGACGATGTGATGTTTTTATTTATATTTTTTTAACAAAGAATTTTACATAAAAAGAGAATTCTTCGTATCTGAGACTGTTAATTTACAAAATCTAGTTTTGATGTTGTAGATTTTATTTTTCTTAGGAAACAAGCAAATGTATCGTGATTACCGGCTCAATAAATGTTTAATGATGAAGTGGAATGCAATAAAATTACGCGCGTAATCAAGTGCTTAAAGAAGTTTTCTGATTCGTGAAAAAATTATAAAAATAATGATGATATTGCTTTAATTTGAAATTTTCATCCAAAGCAATGAAAAAATCATAATAAATGAACCTTGTGAATATTTTTTGTAAATCTTAGCAAAAATTAAATTGGCTTGGCGGGCAATCGTCGAAAGCTGTGCGTCGAGTTTTTTTTTCGCTACTTGAAAAGATTACGAAACTCATCTGTTCAATTTAATTTTAACAGTGACAGTGAACGGGAAGTGAACATTTTGAATGGAAAGCAACACCAGTTAAACCGGAGATTAACTAACAATAAAATAAAGAAAGATTTGTGATTGAATAGAAATTTTTCATTGCTGAACAGTGTGAGATAACAATGCAGATTCTTGCGGTGCGAATAAACGGAATATGAGCAACGATGCTGCTGATAGTTTGGTATGTTTCTCACTCTTTACGTAATAATTATTGACCTTAATTGAATATTTTGAAATCAATTCATGTGCATCATCAATCATTGAACTATTCAAACTTTCCTGATTGGAAATTTTACATAAATATTTATGCTTCATTAAAGCAATGACAACAAATATCCCTCATCGAAAGTTAAACATAAACATGAGAAAAGAGAAAGTTAAAGCATCTTGAATTCACATTCCAGCAGTGATTTTGATGATAAGTTAAGCATCACGACAAGAAGTTAATGTATTGCGAATGATTTGAAGGAAATGATGAGACATTATGTGATATGACCACATGCAGTGCTTTTCAAAACGATATAAAATAAGCACAGGATAATCAACTCGCATTGACTTCTAATTTGTCTCATTACAAAGCATGAATGATAGAAATAAATAAAAAGCTCATTTGTTACATTCTCACACCGAATCATCGATTAAAGTTTCACAGTTTTATTGTGTTGTGGCCTACAACACATCATGCATTTTGTTGTGTTTGATTGTAGAGGAAACACACACATTAATTTGATATTTTTTTAAATACCAAACCATGACGCATGGTATCAACCGTGACGTCAATTTTCCACTCACCGATGTATAAACTCACTCACTTATTCACTTACATTTTTAAACAAAAATATTTTATTTTTATGCTGTGACCATAGACAATGTTTTGAAGCTCGTATCGCTCAGTAGTAGTTGAAACGTCGATCGAGAATCTTCAATAATTATTAACAGTATTTTGGGATTTTAATTTCTCGCTTCAGTAACTCTGTGTAATTAATAAAAGCAACTTTGTGATTACTTGAATTAAAATGTTTGATAATTAGAAGAGAAAAGAACGAAAATTCTAAATATAAAATCTAATTAAAAGCTAAGAAGAAGATCTAAATCTTCCCTCCAGTGATAACAAAAGTTTTTGTGGATTTTGAGTGAAGAATTTGAACAGAGGTTCGACCGCAAAGTTATCAAAACCATCAAACCGCAACCGAATCAAAATTATTACGTTTTTCTCGGTGGTCAATTGAGTTTTTGCTATTGCTGGGTTTTGGGTACAAATTATTTGTTTTGTTTTTGTTTTGGTGTGGAAAGTTTACAGTTCAATTGTGAAGTTTTTACTTCTCTCCTTCCATTTTTAAATGGCATTAAAATTATTATTAAAATTCATTTGATAACTTCTTGTTTAATTCTAAAACACTGAACACGAATACCGAACACTTTTATTACTTATTACTTTAACTAAGTTTACCTTATTTATGCGCATTTCGATAGCGCATCGGCTATCATCAT